TATTGTATTGTTTTTTATATTCAATACCTATTTAACAGAACACTGGAAATAATTGTGGATTCTCTCATTTTAACGGCTGATGGTTCTTTAGTACAAAGTGAATATTATTGAACAGTTCAGAAGTTAGAGAGACAGAAGTTGGAAACAGTACATGCCTAACGGGAAAAGAAGATTCCTATGAAAGTATTAGCAAGCTTTTATCGAAATGGGGAAAATACATAATAAATACGCGACAATACGAAAACACATGAATTATTATGGTCAACGAAATACTTAATTTTTCCCGACATATGAGAATATGCTCATGTATTTCGCGAAAAAACCAAACAACTTTATTGTTGCTCACGAGTAATAAAAATGTGCTAAATGCATTTAGGAAAATAATAAAAGAAACTGATTCGCTTTTTCGGGAAATGCAAATTTATAAAACTTAAAAGGTATTCATGCGATATACGAAAGTATTCAAATTCAATGTGCTTGAATATTTTCTCGAAATGCCAAAATATACTGATGCATTCTAATGAATTCTCAGAAAATTTGGAATATACTTTATGCATATTCCTGCCACATATGAACATGTATGCAGACACTGTCACTGCTCCAGTAAGTAATTACGCTTTGTGAGGTGTATATGTAGGTATATTTGGGGGATTTTAACGAAATATACAGGAGTGTGAAGTGTAGCTGAAAGTTCAGAAACACCTTTAATATCTAAATTGTTTTAATGGTTATAGACGATAATGATTCATTAACACAACGTAAAGAAGACACTTTTTTAACGTTATACCTTTAATATAAGTAGCATATGGTTTCTCAGAAAACATGGAATACACTTTATGCATTCCGACCATATATGGACATATATGTAGTCACTATTATTGCTACAGTTCTTATGCTTGGACTTATACTGGTAGGTATATTTGGTGGAATTGGTGGAGTCAGTTTCGTGAAGTGTAAATTCATATCTAGCTGCAAGTTTGGAAATACCTGTTGGATTTTTCAGGTGAACAATTTACTTGGCTTTGCATGTGTTTGTGAAGGGTGCCACCGGTGGGGCAGGATACACACCTGGTATCATGTTTATTTGATAATGATTCCTAAACTTGTGAAATAGTCGGAATCGTACAATGGACTCTGCTTAAAGCTGAGATGTCGGACAATTATGAAAATGGTTTTGTCACTTTTATTGATTGACCTTCCACTTCTTGTCTTCATGATGGCACCAAAGTAAGAAATGGTCATTATCGTTTAACGAAACAGTTCTTTTTATCAACATTTGCGAACACATATTGGATTAACACATAAATTCATTGACTATTTCACAAGAAACATTATCCAAGACACAAAACGGGCACGGAACTGGATCAATTATAAAACATTAATAACTCAATGAAGAAAAACGCGTTTTTCATACATGTTAACCTTAAAGAGAGTTGGAGCTTAAGCAAATGTGAAAAGTTGTGAGATAATATTATGTTGACCTGAAAGGATATTAAAATTCCTATTGTACAGGAAACAGTGTCGTCAAAGACACAAAACGGGCAAAATATATATTAGCCTTGGATCAATTGTAAAAAAAGTATTAACTCATTGAGAAAAAAACGTTTTTGATATATGTTAACCTTAAAGAGAGTTTTAACTCAATCAAATGTGATTTTTAAAAATATATATTAGCCTTGAAGTATATTAAAATTCGATTAACTATGGAAAGATTTAAATATAAATGCTATTTATAGTCGCGACAGTTAGATCATGTCATGCCCCTAGTGGAATGCTTCCACCACATAATGGATCACAGCTGAAGGTGACGAAATGTATAGGTGCAGACATACGAAGCTTAATTTTAAACAAGCTTTCGACACATATATCGTATATCGATAATCGTAGTATTCACTGGTACTAAGCCATACCGCTTTGAAGGTCATAATGTCTAACATTACTCAAATATTAAGTATTTGTATCTCTTGTGACGATGGAGTCACTGATTTGTGCACTTGGTTTAAGGCAAGGGTGTATTTTGAGCCCCATCGTCTTTTCCTTTTTATCAATTAATTATGAAATGAGATTTGCAAAATGATAAACACGGCATCCAATTATTCCAAGATTTACTTGGAATACTTACGCTAGTTCATATATATTTGCCGAACACGTCATATTTGTATCAGCCATGATCTAAACTGCCGGAAAAAATATACACATGGAATTTGGATGTGACCAATAAATTACTAACGATATCAAAACGTTCCTAGACTGAAAACAGTCGCCGAAACACTGCAAACTTTAGTAAAAAACCCACCTATGATACCCGTATCAATTACATCACGATGGAATATTCATTTCTTGGTTGTTGTTTTTATTTTAGACACCTTCGAACATGGGTCTTTTTTTCTTTTGCCTCGCAGTTTATATCAGGGTTACACACACCACTATACATCCTTGATGAATATACAGGATGCAAAGGAAAATAACAATTACTAAATTAAATTGATTAAAAAATGTTATATTCAGAAGACGAGTGAGATCTGGTGAGAAATTGTACAGAAGGGTCTCTGGCTATGACGAATGGGTATAAACCCCTTGACCTGTTGGTTTTAGAGTCGTGGTCTGAATAAATTAACTGTAAATATAACTTAGCGTGCAAAGAAAGGTCGGGTAAATGTGCTTGGTCACTTGAACACTGGCACCTGTGACTTCAAAAGAATTGTTCATGTTGTTGTACCCTCAAATGTTGTCTACACTTTGATATGACTTATGGACTCCAAACATACCTTTGTGAACGCTACAACGGAATGTGTATATTATGTGTAGGTTTGTCAGCACCATACCCGTGCTCGTGGGTTTCACCGAAGTGGTAAACGTCTGAGACCTACATCACTTCGGGCTTTCCTCCCACATTAAGCTGACACGCCGTGATATAACTGGAAAACTGTTAAAAGCGGCGTTAAACCCAACTCACTCACTCACTCACTCTGATGTATATATATGTACATATGCTGAATGTGGATTTTGCGCTATATAGATAGCCTTATTATTATTATTCATTTGATAAAAAACATATTTAAGCCTGTATTATTCATAAATATCGGCATTTGTGCTCCACAACGACAAACATTTATCTTAGAGAATGTAGACGATTCCCCTTTACAGTAATTCCAACATATACTAGTACAAACGGAATAAAACAGCATATAATATGTTATATGAAATGGGCATTACGGGGAGAAATACTTGCTATTTAAACATCGCTTTGAATATGGGTATTGACCTTGAACAATAATTATTATTATAATAAGTAATGTTCTGTTTTAGAAAGTAGTTTTCTTTAGAGTCTACACGAAAATAAAACAGGTGATAAAAATATTCGAAATAGTTTGATGGTGTCAGATTAGGTTGAACGGGTATGTTGCTGAATGAAAGATGAAAAATATCAATTAAAACAAAACAAATGGACAATCCCCTTGTGTAAAACAAGATTGGAAGATGAAAGCCTTTACTTTTAAATTCGTCTGATTTTGTCCTGGGATTTGTGATGGAGATACGTTGGACTATTTTGAACCCCAAACACCTTTTATTCATCAATTACAGTGAACAATTATATATTGTGTTAAACCAGAGACAATACTGTTTTCATGTTTCATCCAGATATGACGGGTCCCTAAAATATGCATACATCGTAGGAGGTGAGGTGAGGTAAAATAGGGCTTAATGTCGCGTTCACAATTATTGCGCTTACATTAGGCTACTACGAGTACAGACAACGTACTAATACTTTCCCGAGCGCGGTAAAAGAGTAGCTAGAGCTTTCAAGGAGAGCAAATAGCCCACAGAGTACTGAGAGTACAGGCAGCGTACAGACAGGGTACTGATACTTTCCTAAAAAAAGGTAAAAGAGTAGCTAGAGCTATCAAGGAGAGCAGATAGTCTACAGAGTACTGAGAGTACAGACAGCGTACAGATACTTTCCTGAGCGCGGTAAAAGAGTAGCTAGAGCTTTCAAGGAGAGCAAATAGCCCACAGAGTACTGAGAGTACAGGCAGCGTACAGACAGGGTACTGATACTTTCCTAAAAAAAGGTAAAAGAGTAGCTAGAGCTGTCAAGGAGAGCAGATAGTCTACAGAGTACTGAGAGTACAGAGAGCGTACAGACAGCGTACTGATACTTTCCTAAGAACAGTAAAACAGTAGCCATTGAGAGCATACAGGGGACGTATGAAGAGCGAACTGGCGGTTTATAGACCACGGAGTGTACGGAAAGCGTACTTCTATCACACTCAGAACCGTCCATCTCTGGAAACAGTGGGACTGTCCATGGTGCCGGTCTGCATTGTACCCTGGTTTTCAAAGTAAGCTGTTAATGGGCAGCGCTTCTAAAAAAAGTACATCTGTGTAAGTACTAAACATGGCGTTAACATTTGCATTCATCGGGTGTACAGCGTGTCGTTGTACAATACAACCTTAGCGCTACAACTGTCGTAAGTCTATGGTAAGATATGGGAGTTACGATGACCTTAGCGCTAAGCTCGATTTGTACAACGGCACCCTGGAGACACAGGAGAGTAATTGTCATGTCTACAGCATTAGAGATTTGTAAATGCTTTCCGTGATGTTGACCAACAAGAACACAACACAGCACATCAAACACTAGTGCCAGAGCAGTGATCACCCTAACATGGCCTGGAGTGACATCAGTTTCAACATGCAAATGATCCCTGTATGTTACAAGCTAACGACCCGTGAAGATCCGGGGTAGAATAGTTCTTCAGCAATCATGCTTGCCGTAGAAGGCGACTGTGCTTTTCGTAAGCGGCGACTAATGGGATCGGGTGGTCAGGCTCGCAGACTTGGTCGATGCATGTCATCGTATCCCAACTGCATGGATCGATGCTCATGATGTCAATCACTGTAAGGTATGGCTGAATATTTATAGACCGCCGTTATATTGCTGAGTGCGGCGTCAAACAACAAATAAACAAATAATAATATAAGCTGAGCGCTCTTACCGTCGGCCCCAGAAAGATGTCCATGAACCCGTGCAAGACACACCAGGAGCAAGAGAAGTGTGCACACAGCCATACCTGGGGAGCGCCAGCCTTAATTACACTTCACACCTGTGGGTGCCGGCGTTAACTGGCAAGCGTCTACATATTGTGCCGTGTTCCTCACCTGTCTTACAGCCCGTCAGTCACTGTCGGTGGACACTTATATCTCTGGCGTAAGACACTATCAGGGAACTCGACAAATGGGCGGATGACGCATTCTACTATCAGCTGTTTGGGCTCTGTACCATCGACACGTGTTAGAGTCAGGGGTGGCGATGCAGGTTCCATACAGATGTTATGTTTGATGCATATGTTTCAGACAGGTGTGTTGTTTGATGAAGGTGTTTCATTTAGGTGTACTGTGTTTGATGCAGGTATCTCATTTGGAGATGATTGTTGTTGTTGGTTTGTTGTTAAACGCCGCACTCAGCAATATTCCAGCTATATGACGGCGGTCTGTAAATAATCGAGTCTGGACCAGACAATCCAGTGATAAATATCATGAGCATCGATCCACGCAATTGGGACCGATGACATGCATCAACCAAGTCAGCGAGCCTGACCACCCGATCCCGTTAGTCGCCTTTTACGAAAGCATAGTCGCCTTTTACGGCGAGCATGGGTTGCTGAAGACCTATTCTACCCCGGATCTTCACGGGTCTATTCGGATATGAAGGTGATGAGTGACATCTTCCCGAGGCAAGGGAGTTAACTGACTTTTAAAGTCCAGTTTCAACCCTTGCCGAACTGGGCTGGAATTATGGAGTTATACTTTGGCAGGACTAACAAGTCTATGCAAAGTCCAATCAAAATCCGTAAAGATATCGACATCCGGTTCATAAACATGACAACTGCCGTGCCGAATTCGTTCGATGGCAGGATTTGTAGAGCTTGTGTACCATCAACCAGCGTCAACATATTTTCCAAACCCTTTCATGTTCTTTATCAAGGTGCTCAAGTGATATGACACGCTTCGCGAGGGAAAATCCGTTTTAGTACAATAAAGATTTTATTATAGATGGTCTTGACTGGGCGCCGGCATGTTGTTTTGAAGCAAATGCAAGTGATATGAGAGGTAGAATCTGATTAGTTAATAGGGACATAGAAAGCAAATAACTCGTAATAGCCACTGGTGACGCTATGATCGAGCCCAGAAATTCCAGACTTGTTTGGCAAGGGTTGAAACTGAACTTCGAAAGCCAGTTAACTCCCTGGTTGAAGATGGTTGAATGAGTGAGTGAGTGTTCCAGCCATATCACGAGAGGGGAACACAAGGAATGGGCTTCACATATTGTACCCATGTAGGGAACGAACTCGGGCTTCGGGGTTGTACTGCCCTGATGGCACAGATTTAACTTCCAGGAAAAAAACACTCAACACAATTCCAGGTGACCCAACTTTCATTCACAGGCATCTAAGTACAGAATCTCACTGCGCATGGTCGAAGTATAACATCCGGTACCCTAAAATACGGACAAAACACCATAGACTTTCTTATCCAGTACAAACCGAAATACTCATTTTATGCTGAAACACAACATCCCCCCTTTAACCATTCCCTCGTACTGAGGTGTCTTATGTTTGATGCAGGGGTTGGATACAAGTGTGTGATTCATGTGAGGGCTACTGGTGTGTGATGCAAGTGTTTGATGCAGATGTGCAGTATTTCCTGCAGGTGTCAAAAACGGACACACCCAAGACTGTTAGAGTGCAAGTCTGTCCCTATCCAGGCAATGTAACAGTGTAACAATGTAATTGTTATTTGTTGTTTAACGCCACACTCAGCAATATTCCAGCTATGTGACGGAAGTCTGTAAATAATCAAGTTTGGACCAGACAATCCAGTGATTGACATCATAAGCATCGATCCACGCAATTGAGACACAATCCATGTATCAACCAAGTGACGAGCCTGACCACCTGGTCTCGTTAGTCGCCTCTTACGACAAGCATAGTCGCCTTTTACAGCAAGCATTGCTTGCTGAACACCTATTCTACCCCTGATCTTCAAGGGTCCTTCATTACGATGGAACTATAGGTCAGATATTGCCAAGAGAAATGAAATGCACAATATATTTATAGTCAGCTTGATTTTATTTACAAATAAAAATTATGAGTTCATGTTCTGGTTCCTAACATGATATGATTCAATAAATACACATAGAACACACACAACAACAATCATCTACAACAACAACAACAACAACAATGATCTACAGACTTAATTACGATGACATAGTATTATGTGACCCACCATGAAATAAGGGACCTTATGGGTGAAAAATCACATTATGACTTCTTGTTATGCTTTAAAACTACAGTATCTTAGGAACATAAAAATAAAGTATACAAGCAACAACTCATATGTATTGCGGGCGGTCGGGTAGCCTAGTGGTTAAAGCGTTCGCTCGTCACGCCGAAGACCCGGGCTCGATTCCTGACATGGGTACAATGTGTGAAGCCCATTTCTGGTGTCCCCCGCCGTGATATTGCTGGAATATAGCTAAAAGCGGCGTAAAACCATACTCACTCACTCACTCACTCAAATGTATTGCAGAGATACATGGCATCAAACGTTTGGATTAATTTTCTCCAAAATCTCATTTTCATGAAATAATAACTGTAATAATTAATTTAGATATGGTGGCTGATTAATAAAAAGTTTGTTTGTTTGTTTGTTGTTTAACGCTGCACTCAGCAATATTCCAGCTATATGACGGCGGTCTGTAGATAATCAAGTCTGGACCAGACAATCCAGTGATTGACATCATGAGCATCTATCCACGCAATTAAGATCGATGACATGCATCAACCAAGTCAGCGAGACTGACAACACGATCCTGCTAGTTATCTCTTGCGACAAGCATGGTCGCCTTTTATGGCAAGCATGGGTTGCTGAGGATACACAAGTTGATGAAACAGGGATGCAAGGAGATAACAGCTGCTACGATAACAGATTAAGGCCACTTAAAGACATGTCTGTTATTTGCTGCCTGTGGAATGCCCTACATTCTGATTACTTCCGCTGTTCTTGTTTCTTTCTTGTTTTAATGCCACTTTGAACTGACAAGCAGTTACATCATGGCGTCTCCATGTTCTTGTTCAACCTCGTGGGCTATGCTATGAACTCTGTGTGTAACTCAAAAGTCTATGGACATAGTGAGTGAATGAATTGGGTTTCACGCTGCTTTTAACATTATTCCAGTTATATCACGGTATGTCGGCAGATCTCAGACGTTTACCACTTTGGTGAAACCCACGAGCACGGGTATGGTGCTGACAAACCTGGAAACATAATTGGGCAAACCCAGATTCGAACCCAGAAACATAGGTTTCTGGTGTGCCCAAGGGATGCAACTCTGCGGTGCCTTAGACAACTGGTCCACCCGTGCCTCGAAAATTCCTGAATGTCTAAAATATACCTGAGATAGTATGGCAGTACTTCCCATGGGCCATGGAAAGTCTGTTCCATTTCAAATGTTTATCCCATTGAACATGTTGAAGCGAGGCAAGGATGATGGTTTTGTTCAGAATGGCCCCTGTTAACCTTTTGGAGGTCGAATGATTAGAAAACACATTGGAACTTATACTTTCACAATCTTGTGAACGATGCTCTGACTGGACATAAGCTCCAAGTGTAAGTTATACTGTACCATACTCTGTTAACTCTGTTAAATCTATGAGAGTGAATAATTGAATTGGTTTCCAAACTTGTCACGGACACGCCGGTAGTCAGCTGCATCCATCCGTGACGTCACACGCCTCACCGCCGACCTGAAACATCAGCAGTTCTACATCAACAACATGTTTTCAGACCATACTCCTTCATCTATCACGACATGGATGAGAATGACACACAATGTAAAAAGTCAAACTGGTCAAATGTACCTAGTGTATGTCCAACTCGTGTTGAAGCGAGAAACCTTTTATGCCACTTTTAGCAACATTTCTGCCATATCATGACCACACATTGTCACCATGCAGGGAATCAAACCTGCTCTTCTGGAAGACAAGGAAACACTTTAACCACTTGGCTACAAACCCATGAAGATCCGGGGTAGAATAGGTCTTCAGCAACCCAGGCTTGCCCTAAAATGCGACTATGCTTGTTGTAAGAGACGACTAACGGGATCAGGTGGTCAGGCTCGCTGAATGGCTTGATGTATGTCATCGTATCCCAATTGTGTGGATCGATGCTCATGATGTCAATCACTGGATTGTCTGGTCCAGATTCGATTCTTTACAGACTGCCGTCATGTAGCTGGAATATTGCTGAGTGCGGCATTAAACAACAAACAAACAAACAAAACTTGTCTTCCCAACGATAATATTCTACTTGACAGTGATGATCGTGTAGACAATGACAACATTTGTGATAGTTTAGCCAGTGCAGACAGTGAAGACAGTGATGATAGTGTAGACAGTGTAGACACTCACGCATTGAAGACCTTCCTCTCCAGGCGGGATCTGCTGGTATCCTTAATCTTGTCAATGTCTGTCAAGCTGCCATACTTTTTCTTCTTTCCTTTACCTTTGCCCTTGCCTTTGTCCTTATATTTTTTTAGCTGCAGGTCAAGGCCAGTGCTAGCCTCGATTTCTCGTAGCAGCTGTGGGTCCTGCCAATCAGGCACTTGCTCTGGGAACAGAGAGGTAAGGTGAGGTGGAGTTTAACATCTCGTTAAAGATTGTTAAACTCATACACAGATGTGAATGCACCTGTGGTTGCTTACCGAGCACCAGGCAAGGTAACAAAAAGTACCATCTTTTTATGTCCTTTGGTATTACATGTCCAGGGAAATTGTACCACCTACCTTCCACTATCAGGAGGAACAGAGCTTGGTAGTACCATGTGTCATACAAATTTAAATACTTTTTTAAGGGAATTACAAAACAACAGTAACTTTTTTTCAAAAGCAATAGTAATGCTATATTCAAGCCCACAACAAAGCAGTGTTTCTAAGGTTTATACAGATATGCGGGGGCACGGGTGGCTCAGTCGTCTCTGGCGCCGCGATTCGCTGTGCAGTGTTGCGTCCCTTGAGCAAGCCAGAAACCTATGATTGTGGGTTCGAATCCCAGTTCGTCCCGATTATGTTTCTAGGTTTGTCAGCACCATACCCGTGCTCTTGGGTTTCACAGAAGTGGTAAACGTCTGAGACCTGCATCACTTTGGGCTTTCCTCCGACATTAAGCTGACACGCCGTGATATAACTGTAATACTGTTAAAAGCGGCGTTAAACCCAACTCACTCACTTATACAGAAATGCAACACTAACATTCAAGGCCTTTTCATGCCTTTCAACTGCCATTTTCAAGGCTTATTTAGGTGAGTTATTAGCCATAGTTGTCAATATTTCTTTAAATCCAGCATACCATATAGTAGTCAAAAGACCATAAAAGAAATATGAACATCCCAAATGTTCAAGATTGATTTTCACAACCAACAAATAAAACAAATTAAGTCTGTCATGAATTCTTCATGGCTTTTGGCATACAAATCTATCACTGTTATAAATCATAAATAAAACTTTATTAAAAAGTACATTCAGGTTTTTCAAACAATTTTGTTAATTTTTAAGGATTTGGTCCAGATTTGATTATTTACAGAATGGAATATTGTTGAGTGCAGCGTTACACAACATCAACCAAAACAAATCCACCACTGAATCTAACATACCCTCAGCATTCTTCTCTGCTTGCTTGGCAATCTCCAACGCATCATTGAGACGCGCCGGGCGCCCTTCTTCATCACGTGCAATCACCTTTCCATGGAACGGACACTGCAAGGAATAAAAACAGGAATTACTTTACAGACAGTGTATCTACCCATATTTTCAGTTATATTCTGTCAGTTTGTGCTATATTTCAGCAAACACTTACAACACAAGTTCATGGTATTCAAATAGAATTATCAATATAGTGAAAAACTACACATTTACTCCTAATTCCCAGTTTAAAAAAGCTTGCGAAATCTGACCTTGACCTCGGTGTGACCTTGAACTTTCTCACCTTGACCCTGTCCATTCTCTCACAAAGTCCGCCAGTGGCCATGGGTGCTCTGCACTTCCACTTGACAGGTTCGAATGTTCCCGTGAAGTGGAACGTTCGGTTTTTCACTGCAGCAAGATCTAACTGAAATGTTCATGTACATTTATAGTTGATTAATTAGGATTTTAGGTTTAATTAGGTTGATAAGTGCGGTTTTTCACCACAGAAAGTTCAAACTGAAATGCATGTACACTTATAGTTGACTAACAGGATCGGGTGGTTGATGCATATCATCATATCCCAATTGTGTTGATAGATGCTCATGATGTCAATCACTGGATTGTCTGGTCCAGACCATTATTTACAGACCACCGTCATATAGCTGGAATATTGCTGAGTGCAGCGCTAAACAACAAACAAACAAACTTAATGTTGAGAGAAACAATACCATATTAGGGTCATTGTAGCATGGTTAGATAATCCCTCAATCTATACACATAACTGCATTAAAATTAACCTTGATAGCATATTTTTAAGGCATCTTAACATGGTGAGAATGACACACATACTGTGTCACGGCGAGTTACCTCCCTTTGACTGCCAGTAATGGTGCAATGTTTCATGATTTCACACCCTGTCATCTGAACCATGTACTGATCATCTTGATCATGGTGATAAATGTATTCTCAACCTGATTTCTGACCGCTTCAGACTTGGGGTAAGTATAGAATGTTGGGGGTTTATGACAAAAATGTCAAATGAGGACTCACAGCATTAGGCTTCTCAGTTTCAGACTCTGGCGGCACCCAGAACCGATGGAGAGAGTCGTACCTGCAACATCATAGGGGCATCTTACATCCATTGTCCATACTTAACAGGCTTGTAGCTGCTTTGTACCTCTGGCCAACTCGACCACTGCCTGACTTTAAGGCAATGAGTGCTGAGCCAATGGTTGCAAGGCTTAGCCCAATGTTGCCAGGGGGAGAGATAAATGCCTCTGCTGAAATGTAATCTGAGCAGTCATAGATCAGAGCACACAGTGGCATCTCTCTTAACTACCCCCCCCACCCACCCCCCAACACACACATACACACATACACCCCCCCACACACCCCCAAATAAAGATCCAGGTTAGAATTGGTCTTCAGAAACCCATGCTACTGACAGGATCTGGTGTTTGTTTGTTTCGGTTGTTGCATGTCATCTTATCCTATTTGCATACGTTGATGCTCATGCTATCAATCAATGGATTGTCTGGTCCAGACTTGATTATTATTTACCGTCATGCAGCTAAAATATTGCTGAGTGTGGCATAGCACAACAAACAAACAAACCTGTGATTGTAAAATATTGATGATGTCTTACACCATGTATACATACTTCTAACTCATCTTGAATTCAGCCCAAAAGGAAAGTCTTCTTTCCTCATGACTTCTAGTTTACTAAATTTTAATTAAATTAATCCACTTCAGCTACAGTTACTGTACCGCACAACAAAGTTAAGCATTGAACACAAGTAAGGCTAAAAAAATACTAGTCTTGGTTCTCAGGCACCGCCCGCATCATCATAAAGTCTGTCGCATGTTTCGTTTTTATTTCAATGTTAAAAAAATCAAAAAATCCTACTACTTTATAAAAACAATGCAATCCAAAATAGCACACACTGACATCCCTTTACATATGCAGTGCTTTACTGTGCATCTCGTGTTATGGTCACGGCCTCAATAGGAGTTTGTATGCTTGTTTATGTAGGGAGACTCTTCCCGCGGTTGATGGTACACAACTGTTTATTTGGTTACATACTAGTTTGGAAAGATTCAGGGTAGAATAGGTCTTCAGCAACCCATGCTTGCCGTAAAATGTAACTATGCTTGTTGTAAGAGGCGACTAACGGTATCGGGTGGTCAGGCTCTCTGACTTGGTTGATGCATGTCATTGATCCCAATTGCGTGGATCGATGCTCATGATATCAATCATCGGATTGTCTGGTCCAGACTCGATTATTTACAGACCGCTGCCATATAGCTGGAATATTGCTGAGTGTGGCGTTAAACAACAAACAAAACTTACTAGTTTGGACCAAAAAAACACAAAAAAACCAACCCGCCTGCCCACACCATATTTTCAAAAGTCTTTGCCTGAGAACCGATTCTTTCTGTTTTTGTAAGCCTGAGGAGGACAGCATGAGACTCCTACTTGATCATGACAGGAGCTTCTATCGCGTCGGGGTTATCCCAGCAAGCAAGGTCGGCGCCAAACGGCACAACCGGAGCATCAGCTCGAGCCTTCTTAGCTGGAGTTGTCTTCCCTGATGTGCTGGGGCCTGACTCGCTTGTCTCCCTTGATATGCCAGCCAGAGGATGCTTCGACCTGAATTTAAATTTGATCCGTAGCAAATAAAATCTTTATAATACCTCTCTGCATAAAGATCTAAAGACAGCTCTAAGGCAGCCGTGTCAGGGGGACAACTAATCAGTCAATGCTTCTAAATTCCTGTAACCATGGTAACAAATGAGCAAAGCATTCAGATCAACAACTTATTTCTAGGTCTCAAAAAGAATATTATCGAGGAAATTTGTATGCGAAAAAATAATGCTGCGCTATCATATTGCATACTTTTTGCATCCTATCACTTGTGAGCCATTGGCATCACATCCAAAACAGTTTCGATGGAGAGTATATGTGTTCTCAGGCTGTTTTGTGACTGAGATAGAACTCAAAATTCCCCAATTTAGGCAGTAAAGAATTGAAGATGACTCGTTTTAGAAATCTTACATCAGATTGGCTACAAAACCCTTTATTTTGATGGGGGGGGGGGGGGGGGGGGGGGAGAATGGTCAAATTTTGCTCTTGGTTCACCTGAAGTGCCTAGCTGTGGAGATGCTGTCAGATCTTTATGAAGAGAGATATGGTATTGAGGTAAAAGATCTGACTGAATGAGATTTTTGATGAAACATAAGTCAGAAGTGTGATACCAGTTTAGGCAGAGAGGTGTGTGAGACCATCTTCCATCACCGTATTTAAAGCTACTACTAAACACTCTCATGATGAATCTGTGAACGTCATGCAAGACTCAATGTATCAGGTTATTAAACATAGACAGGCAAAGTGGCAGCCCACGCAATATCAAGTTGTTCAAACATCAATTTGTTTTTAATAAATTTGATGATGTTTATCAAGCGAACCATTACTCACAGTTAAATGTTACCGTAAGTACACAGAAATACAGAGACAACATCTCAGATACACAACATTACAGTATCTAGACCTGGGCTGAAAACTGACAACAGAGTGAGTGAGTGAGTTGGGTTTAACGCCGCTTTTAACAGTATTCCAGTTATATCACGGCGTGTCAGCTTAATGTGGGAGGAAAGCCCGAAGTGTTGCAGGTCTCAGACGTGTACCACTTCGGTGAAACCCACAAGCACAGGTACGGTGCTGACAAACCTAGAAACATAATCGGGGTGAACCGGGATTCGAACCCATAACCATAGGTTTCTGGTGTGCCCAAGGGAAGCAACTCTGCACAGCCAATCGCGGCGTCTTAGACGACTAGCCACCCGTGCCCCCAATTGACAACAGATGAAGGAGCCAAAATCTAACGTGGGAAGCATAAAACCCCACATACCCCTCGTCATCCTGCTACAACTTATAGGTGAGGTGAAATGGGGTTTAACGTCACGTCCAAGATTACTGCATTTATATAGTGACGTGAATGTACGTGTGTGTCGGTGTGTTTGTGTGGCTGCTTGTACTAGTCCGGACTGATGCCAATTTATAGTGCTAGCTCACTGAGAAACCATGCCGCAGTTCAACATGAATACCCCACTCAGACACAGTATACTGACTCCGAGCCAACCAGTCCTTGTTTAGCCCTTAATGCCGAGCGCCAGACAGGATAACAACAAGTACCACCTTTTAATGTCTTTTGGTATGACGTGGTTGGGGATTGAACCCCGGACCTTCCGCTCTACCACTAGACCACGGAGGCGGTTGCTACAACTTATAATGTTCAATGGTACAAATTATCACCAAGAGCAGCCACCATGAGAATCACTGAGCTGACTGACTATCCCATCCAGTACAGTGTGTGAACTTCACCTTCCTGGACTGTACCCCACGGTTGAGTCACTCTGCTGGTGGCCCTTGAGGCGCGAGATGTTGGCCTCCCTGGACGTTGGGTCTGCGTAGCTGGTCATAGATTTGATAGTGGACATGCTCCAGAACTGAGGAGTCATCTGTGCCATGAACTTCTCGGGAGCTTTCTTCTTCTCCTCGACCGACTCCGGCTGGGGCTCCAGGCCTGCAATAATAATGTGTACATTCATCTTATAATGCACCAAAGCCACACCCTAAGCATGATTAATAGCTCAACATTATCACCCTGATCAATGGATTATGTGCACTCAATTTTAATTTTCAGCTTGGTGGGGAATAAACAACCCAAGCTGTCTTATGAAGTGCTAGAACATTAACAGACACACCATCTCAACCTACTGGGTACCCATTTACTGGGTGAACAAATGCATATTTCAAATGAAGTCACTTTTGGCTGGTAGACTTGAGATGATTTTGGCCCACTCAGCTTACATATTGTGTGAGTAAGCAATGATGAGGCTATTTGTGGTCATGTATGGTTTAAAGATCTGGATACAGTCTATTACTGGTCCAAAGTTGAAAGCATTGACACACTTACCATACTCAGCTCGCAGATGCTGTGGGATGTTTGGCTCATAGCCTTCCTTCTCTGGCACCACCTCGAAGTCATCGTCATCATCTACAAGAGAATCAACAGATGGTACTCCTGACAGCATGATGCTCAGTGTAGGTGCTACCAGTGTTGGAAATAATTCTGAAAGCCAACAAGTCGGTTGGGTGGGTGACCCATTAATGTTACCTGCCCATCTTCAAAGTTACCTGCCTGCATTTCAGACATTATAAATATTGAAATATCATGAAATATAAGAGACAAATCAAGTCTTGGTTCAGTTGCAAACAATTACTTGAACATTTACGAGCAGTTATAATAAAACTGAATACGTAAGTAGTCATAAAAATATCTGCAAGACAGGTGGGCAGGTGGACAGAATTTCCGACAGCCTAACAGAAAAGTTACCAGCCACAGGCAGGCGGACAGGCAGTTATTTCAGACACTGGGTGCTACTTATTCATCATCGAGCTGTTGCTATGGACACAAGCAACACAACATCAGCATTGGTGACCTACTAGAGCTGTAACTACTGACACAGTCAACACAACATCAGCATTGGTGACCTACTAGAGCTGTAACTACTGACACAGGCACCACAACATCAGCATTGGTGACCTACTAGAGCTGTAACTACTGACACAGGCACCACAACATCAGCATTGGTGACCTACTAGAACTGTAACTACGGACACAGTCAACACAACATCAGCATTGGTGACCTACTAGAGCTGTAACTACTGACACAGTCAACACAACATCAACATTGGTGACCTACTAGAGCTGTAACTACTGACACAGGCAACACAACATCAACATTGGTGACCTACTAGAACTGTAACTACTGACACAGTCAACACAACATCAGCATTGGTGACCTACTAGAGCTGTAACTACTGACACAGTCAACACAACATCAACATTGGTGACCTACTAGAGCTGTAACTACTGACACAGGCAACACAACATCAACATTGGTGACCTACTAGAGCTGTAACTACTGACACAGTCAACACAACATCAACATTGGTGACCTACTAGAGCTGTAACTACTGACACAGTCAACACAACATCAGCGTTGGTGACCTACTACAGCTGTAACTACTGACACAGTCAACACAACATCAACATTGGTGACCTACTAGAGCTGTAACTACTGACACAGTCAACACAACATCAGCGTTGGTGACCTACTAGAGCTGTTACTACTGACACAGTCAACACAACATCAGCATTGGTGACCTACTACAGCTGTAACTACTGACACAGTCAACACAACATCAGCATTGGTGACCTACTAGAGCTGTAACTACTGACACAGTCAACACAACATCAGCGTTGGTGACCTACTAGAGCTGTAACTACTGACACAGTCAACACAACATCAGCATTGGTGACCTACTAGAGCTGTAACTACTGACACAGGCAACACAACATCAACAGTGGTGACCTACCAGAGCTGTAACTACTGACACAGTCAACACAACATCAGCGTTGGTGACCTACTAGAGCTGTAACTACTGACACAGTCAACACAACATCAGCATTGGTGACCTACTAGAGCTGTAACTACTGACACAGGCAACACAACATCAACATTGGTGACCTACTAGAGCTGTAACTACTGACACAGGCAACACAACATCAACAGTGGTGACCTACCAGAGTCGTTACTTCTCTTCTTCTTGCCAACTTGAACAGCTGGGAGGACTTGGAGCTCATCACACTTGGTCTTGGAGGACAACAATTTGTTCTTCAGGTCTATCATCCTCTTGATGTCAGCTTCAGAGGCTCCATTCTTGGACAAAATCTGAAACCAATTCCTCTGATAAATCATGCATGTTATTTAGGAATTGACTTCCACTTTGAGTGAGTTCATTGAGTATGAACCTTCATAGAGCGAGTATGGACATGATGAAATCTTCATGAAAACAACAACTGTCCAATTGTCATTTTATTGGGCAATTGTTTGGCTGCCTAAAACCCATGTCATTGTATGGGGCAAATGTTTGGCTTCCTAAAACCCCACGTCATTTTATGGGGCAAATGTTTGACCGCCTAAAACCCTATGTCATTGTAAGGGAAAAATGTTTAGCCACCTAAACCCACGTCATTGTATAGGGCAAATGATTGGCCACCTGAAACCCATGTCATTGTATGGGTCAAATGTTTGGCCGCCTAAAATCCCATGTCATTGTATAGGGCAAATGATTGGCCGCTTGAAATTCCACGTCATTTTATGAGACAAATGTTTGGCCACATGAAACCCCACGCCATTGTATGGGGCAAATGTTTGGCCCCTTTAAACCCACATATGTCACTTTATGGGACAAACGTTTGGGTACCGGAAACCCCACACGTCATGTGATGGAACAAATGTTTGGGCGCTGGAAACCCCACATGTCATTTTATGGGACAAAAGCCCTCAGTGTCCTACCTCGAGCCACCGCCCCACCAGGGGAATGTACTTGATGGCTATCAGACAGATGGCGTCCTTCAGGGTATTAAAGATGTCCTTGTTGTCGTCCGTCTCCTGCACAAATGCCTCCACGGCCTGCATATCAATGGAGATGTTGTACTGGCGGGACCCAAGGCCATGAGCTTGTACAAATCCTTCAGCATCTGGGACGTCCTCAAAGTCATCCTCGTCATCCTCCTCCGCCTCCTGTGTTGCCGTCCCTGCTGGCTCACTGGTGTTGGTGGCAGATGGAGATGTTGAGCCTGATGCGCCAACACTGTCTTCATGTTTTAATGTACTTTCAGACAGTTTTGGCCCCTTATCACCTTCCTGCTCCTCATTTGGCTTGATCCGATCACTGGCTGCAACTGCCTCCCCTGATTTATCGGGCGTGTCGTCATCATCGTCATCATCACAGATGAAGAAGTTGTCTGGAGCCGGCAGCAGTAACTGCAGACAGTTCTCCACCTCCATTGCAGCGTTCTCCATGTCCGGGGCGCCCTCTTCAAGGGAAAATAGAGTCAATGGTTACTTTCAACATGAACATTACTTCACAATATCAAATAGTTTTACTTCTAGAGCATTCATGGAACACTCCCTTTTAGGGACTTACACATTTTACTCATTTGGGGAATCAAACCTGGGTCTTTGGCATGTTTATGTTTCAATCATGTTTCTTTCAAACCATTATGACCTATTCAGACAAATATGCATTATAACAATGCATGCAGCTTCACCTTCAATATCTTGCAGCACTCGCTCCAGGCGAACTCGCATTATGTTCTGTTTTCGTCTCTCTTTTTCCTCGGAACGCCGTCTCTCTGCTATTGTCCTCGACCGGATGTCGTTGAAATCCACCTGGGGGAAGTACATTGGAAGTGTTGTCAGTTGTTTAATGCAGCTACGGACAGTATTTCAATTTACCGGACTAATTTTCTTTCTTACCATAAGGGCTGGGATGGGTTACTCGGGTACTGGGGTCGGGTGGGTACTGAGTAGGACCAGGGTACCCACAGGACTACCCGGACCCGTGGTTAGGTATGTGATATATTGTTTCATGACAAAAATCTAGAACTCCATGGTTACACTACAAGTCACGTTTGCATTTCTTTCTGTCTATGCACAGATTCCTTCTGACTTTCATATTCTGAAGAAGGATAAAGCTTCTGGCAACTTCAGTAAACGCATGACCAGGTTGTTTCATATATGTATCTAAATACTTTTTGCCAGGGCTCCGGTCTAACAATTCCCAATCATGCATTTTGTACCCAACTCTTGAGACCTACAGTGGGTACCCGGGTGGGTCAGGTAATAGGAGGTTGGGTTCCCGGGCAGTAGATTTAGACTCGTCCCAGCCCTACTTACCATCTTGCAGCTGCGAAGGTAGTGATACCCTAAAGTCAGTTTCTTGTAGGCATCACCATACTTCTCCTGCCACTGTTGGATGGCCTTCAAAGTCTCCCTCTTCAGTGTCTGGGCAATTGGCTTTGGCGGCGGAAGAGGCATCTCTGGATTGGTATCTATAATCAGGAGTAAATAGTGAGTGAGTGAGTTGGGTTTAACGCCACTTTATCAGTATTTCGTAATATCGCGACGTGTCAGATTAATGTGGGAGGAAAGCCCGAAGTGATGCAGGTCTCAGACGTTTACCACTTCGGTGAAACCCACGAGCACGGGTATGGTGCTGACAAACCTAGAAACATAATCGGGGCGAACCGGGATTCGAACCCACAATCATAGGTTTCTGGCGTGCCCAAGGGACGCAACTCTGCACAGCGAATCGCGGCGCCTTAGACATTGTTAGACAACTGGGCCACCCGTGCCCCCCAGGAGTAAATAAATCTGTTTGTAAGATACTACGAATGCAGCTCAAAATGCTTGGTACTAACTGTGGCAATCATAATTATGTTTGATATATCTACATGATGTGTGTGAATAGTTTTATCACTACCAACTGAAGGTCCTTCAACTTCTTATTCAATGTATAAGTGATTTTTTTAATTTTGCAATCATGCCGAGTTTAAAACAAATGTAGAACTTAGATCTATTTGTTAGGCATTAATCATGTAAATATCATTAGATAACCATGGTAATACTACTGCGATGTCTGCCTTTGAATATCTCCTCTATAACCTGCAGCTTCTCATCACTAATCTACGAAAAGTGATAGTCTTTGTCTGATAAAGGAGAGAGTCTGACTGACTGAGATTAATGTCTGAGTGTCTTACCGGCAGTCAGCACAGTGAGTAATGTCTGAGAGTCTGACTGACTGAGATTAATGTCTGAGTGTCTTACCGGCTGTCAGCACAGTGAATAATGTCTGAGAGTCTGACTGACTGAGATTAATGTCTGAGTGTCTAACCGGCTGTCAGCACAGTGAATAATGTCTGAGAGTCTGACTGACTGAGATTAATGTCTGAGTGTCTTACCCAGGGGTCCGGAAAATTTAAAATCCCAATCGGACATTTACATTTATGCCACGCCCCCTTCGAACAGCGTATTTTAGTACGACTTTTTACACACAAATAACAAGTTGTTACGTATTCATAATATGATGAATTATAAATTGTTTAAATTTAAATTGTTTAATTCACCGGACAATTAATAACAAATAATATCATTTTAGATATATATGGAAAACATACGTTTGTTTCTGTTATTATAACGATCTGTTAACGTTGCGAACGGTCTAATTAATATTCATGAGTCTGCTCAAGTGTATGCGTTGTAACATTTGGATCGAGACTATTATCCCATATTTGGTTATCACGTGACCTCACGGGAATAGGTTTTTTTAAAACTTAAGATTATTTAAAAACAAGACAGATAATATAATCATAAATCCTAAACTATTGTTGATAGCAATAGTTATTTGAATACTTTTTCATCTGTACTTAATTATTGACCATAAAAAAAATTGGATATCGATCGTCACAGAAAGCAAAATGGCGGTCAAAGAAGATTCAATATACGACTAGCTACTGAAAACAATAAAATCTGCAAATCCTCATTGTATGTCAACCAAGTGAAAGTCGTTAGCCACGACTTACAAAATGATCATTCAGACTTTGAGGGTTTGGCAGATCCGCTCGACTGATCTGCATCGGTCAACTGGCTGTCGTCACGCTTTCGCTTCTTGTCTGAGGTTACGTATCGTAGCATTGTGAGGATAATGAGGTACATCGATGATGCAAGGTATTTATGTACAGTTGTAAACACATTTTACTCAAATTAACAAGATGTTCTCAGTAATTAATCCTCGATTAATCAGTGTCAACTCAGTTTATTGCCTATTACAGTAATTGACCGATTGGACTATCATTGTCGGTACGATGTATTTACAGCAATCAAAACAAACAAAGCTTGTCATTGTAGATAATATTCATTGTGTTACAACTGCAGACAGAAACTGCTCAGTCCTAACTGTTGATCATGTCCGGTCAAAATTTAAGAATGTCCGGACAATACTTTTTAAAATGTCCGGACAGAAAAATTTAAATGTCCGGTAAGCAATATTTTAAACCGGACATTTGAGATTCCAAATCGGACATGTCCGGCGCATATGACGGTTTCCGGACCCCTGGTCTTACTGGCTGTCAGCACAGTGAGTAATGTCTGAGAGTCTGACTGACTGAGATTAATGTCTGAGTGTCTTACCGGCTGACAGCACAGTGAATAATGTCTGAGAGTCTGACTGACTGAGATTAATGTCTGAGTGTCTTACCGGCTGTCAACACAGTGAGTAATGTCTGAGAGTCTGACTGACTGAGATTAATGTCTGAGTGTCTTACCGGCTGACAGCACAGTGAATAATGTCTGAGAGTCTGACTGACTGAGATTAATGTCTGAGTGTCTTACCGGCTGTCAGCACAGTGAGTAATGTCTGACTGACTGACTGACTGACTGAGATTAATGTCTGAGTGTCTTGCCAACTGTCAGCACAGTGAGTAATGTCTGAGAGTCTGACTGACTGAGATTAATGTCTGAGATTCTGACTGACTGTCATCATGGTGAGTAGCATATTAGTTCTTACCGACTGTGAGTTCCATGAAGACCTGGAGGTTGGAGATGAGTAGTTCTCGGAACTCATGAGATCGGTTGAAGAGTTCATCGATGATCTGGAAGGTGGAGAGTCGGACCTCAGCATGGTTCTTCTCAAGTTCAATCATCAGGATGTGGTAGGCATGCTTCACATAGGTGTTGGACTTTCTGAAAAAAAGAGAACACAAACAAAAGATGACAAAACTGTTCAGGAAAGGAAGAGTATAACCATGGTAACATGTCTACTAACCAGCATACATGGAAGGCACGGTAGGGAGTAAGCATGGTAAGGGACGGTGTGGTTGTCATGGTTGTCCAAGAATGACATTTTCTATGTACAATAGGTGAGGTGACATGGGGTTTAACATCGCAACGTACATATGCACTCGTGTGTGTGTGTGGCTGCTTGAATAAACCTAGACTAATGTCTATCTTATAGTACTAGCCCACTGAGATACCATGCTGCAGTTTAACATGAATACCCCTCTCTGACACAGTATACAGACGCCGAGCCTACCGGTCCTTGCTTTATCCTCTTAATCATGTTAATGCCGAGTGCAAGACAGGGTAACAACAAGTACCATCTTTTGGCCTCTTTTAGTATAACACGGCCGGGGATCGAACCCCCAACCTTCTGCTCTACCACTGGACCATGGAGGTGGTTTCCATAACAGATAGTTACTCTTCATAACAAGGAGGATGCAGTTGTCATGGTAATCCAAGAACAATGTTTTCTATGTACAATCAACATGATCAACTCCACCATGTCCACAACAGATAGCTATTCTTCATGACAATGACAGGATTATTGCCTGACAACTGTCACAACTACAGAGAAAGAAATGTGTTTTCTTGCACGTTTGACAGGGGCATTCATTAAAAATGTTTAGGCATGCTAGGTGTGCCCTTTTGGATATGTTGGGCATGTTTTTTTAAAGTTTGCTATAAGTTCAATACTTTTGATACACCCTCGATCTCGTTAAATGTCATTCGACCATGAACTACAAAATAACAACTATGTTTGCCCTCTTACATTTCATCAAGTTCTCTCAGATTAATAATAGTATCCTTTTCAGTTTCTGAAACCCCAGGTTTATCATTATTATTTTGTCAATTTTATTTCGTGCTGTTTCTTCTATGTTCATTTCCTATCTCTTCGTCCAGTTCACGTGTGCATAGCTAGCATCACAATTCATTTATTACCATGATTACTTCATTAGTTCATAACAAACATTTTTTTGAAAAGTATGACTTCTTTGGTGTGCTCTTCACATGCTTCAGGCATCGGTGCTGTGGTTTTATACAATCCAATATCACCAACTATTTATTAACTTGAGCACTAGGTTCCATCAGATTTTGTAGTCCGGCTCTATGCTAGGATACCAGTGTGTGAGATCTGCCTGTAACATGACACAGGGTAGACTGAATGTTGCAGGCACAATAAAACAGTATGACACAGGATGAATTGATTATCTGCAGTGGAATCATTATCACCTGGAACTCGTTTCAACCATGCCATCATGATCATAACCTTGCCACTGACATTCTAAAACAAGAATACAACCATGAACATGCTGAACTTACTTGCATATTTTCTTGAACTGTTTCATGACATCAGTGTCAAGCTTTGGTTTCCCTGACATGGTGAGTTTCTGCACACATTTCTCCATCTCCACACGGAGGGAATCATCCAGGCACTCCTCCACGCCCTCCATTGTCGTAAACTAACAAATATCCAAACTTACACAGGAAATTGTCCTAATATTTTCCATGCCAGAAAACAGAATTTGCTACTGTTGAAGGTTTGCCAAAAAATAGGCCTCGTTAGTCGTTACATATCAATCTATTACTAAAATTTCGAAAAAGGTCAATCAATAATTGACAATGTCCCGGTTTCACACAACGAGACCTAGGCTGAGAATGGATACACAGAAGAGCAGTGGTCCTTAGTCCTTGCCAACATATCCAACTAGGTCTCTTTTCACTGTCGCATCAACAATATCGTTTGTTTACATCCATTTACCACGTTTACCCTATAAAATCCAAATAAAAATTGCGCGTAGGTTCACATACTGGTCTCGAAAATCAGGCTAACTAAGTGAGAAGTTTATGAAGAACATAATAATCTCTCTAATTCACCAAGGCTCTGGTTTCAGGACTGCAAACCACTTTCTCAGCAATATTTACTATTTCACAACGGAACCGGAAACTATTCTCCCGTTTACAATTGTCGTTCTTATTTCGGCAAGATTTTAACCTGAGAGGAAGATAAAATGACTGTTTTGATCACACAACAGATATAGTATAATTTGAGTAAAACAAAAGGCCCTACTGATAGAATTGGACTTGGATCCCTGGGGTGAGTTAATCGCACCAGCTTTTAAATGATGCCGTAAACATACATACAGACTGGCTTCCGGCAGTAAATGAAAGATGGCGTCTGCTAGCTGGAATCACGAAACTAAAGCGCGATTAAATGAGAAAATTACGGCTAACATTAACGATCTTGGTTCACTGGCACGTCAGGTTATAAGGGGATCGAAATCAAACGACGTAAGTATTAATGTTTATGTTTGCCATCTCTTTCATGGTTCATCAACTTCTCAATTCCAATGTTAGTGTTAAGCTGTTTGTCATTATAAGTAGGTGTCAGTGAGTAGGGTTTATAGCTAAAACGTCACCTCAGCAAAACGTCACCTCAGCAAAACGTCACCGATGGGCGAAGACGGCTACTTTTGCCTGGCGAAAACGGTACCTTATTCTTTTTTACCATGGTAAAATAAATGAAATTAAACATACATGGTCACTTGCAAACACCAATAATTGTGAAATGTTAAAACAAGTTTACTTTAGAAATTAGCCTCTACTCCAACTTTATTCCAACTCATCCTATTCGCAACTCAATTTATTGTGAAAACATAACATGCTTGAAGTAAAATAATGAAATTAAACTCAGATGGTCTCTTACAAACACCAATAATTGTGAAATATTAATTCACAATGACCTTTCGATGTGTTGTTTGTGAGAAGAATGTCAGAAAAAATTGAGATGCTGCATCATGTGACAACTGTTACCAGTGGACCAATCGTATATGTGGTATCGGACTTCATGTAACCCATTAGTGAGAAATTAGCCGGACTGAAGAAGACTTCCCTTTCTACTGTTGGGGATGCATAGATCCCATCATAGCAGAGGTGATTGGTAACTTTGATGTCAGTTTCCAAACAGAGTGAGTGAGTGAGTGAGTGAGTTTGGTTTAACGCCGCTTTTAACAGTAATTCCAGTTATATCACGGCGTGTCAGCTTGATGTGGGAGGAAAGCCCGAAGTGATGCAGGTCTCAGACGTTTACCACTTTCGGTGAAACCCAAGAGCACGGGTATGGTGCTGACAAACCTAGAAACATAATTGGGGTGAACCAGGATTCGAACCCACAATCACAGGTTTCTGGCTTGCCCAAGGGACGCAACTCTGCACAGCGAATCGCGGCGCCTTAGACGACTGGGCCACCCGTGCCCCCTGTTTCCAATCAGAAGATGCAGAAGAAACGAGGGTTCCAGACCTATCGGAAATCCTTCAGCTACTATCACAATGTACGGTGGTACATGGGCCGATATTGAAAACTATAAAGAACTGTGAAGAAGAATTGTATGTATGTGAATATATGTAGGTATCTATGAATAACTGGAAAACAGGAAACAACATGTAAATACATCAAATAACATGTAATTAAATCATATATAGTACTACATAAAACGTTCTTAAAAATAGAGGTGCCTTTTTCACCCGACACATACTAGCCGTTTTCGCCAAATGCGCTGCTGTTTTCGCCAGAGAAAGTGGTGATGTTTTGCTGAGGTGCTGTTTTAGCCTGCACCCGGTGAGTAGTCCTATTGCACTTTACAAGGTGCACATATTCTTAGTTTAAAAAGCGCCGCGTGGATGATCGAAAGCTGTTATGATGGTAAAGGTGTTCCTAACTCTAAGGAGTAAGGATTAAAAAGGCTGTTTGATTGGCTAGTCAGTCCCCGCTGTATTCCGCGGCCCAAAAAAACTATTTTTGTAAATACTGCAACCATATTTTCATAATTCTGTCCACAATTCTGCAAGCTTTTAATAAGTTTAAGCTTAGTTTTCTTGAATTTCGTAGTTTTCCACCTGTCTGACTTGTGTTCAGATGGGACTCAACCCAAGAAAACCTAGAATTTGTACTTTACAAAGAGAGTGTTTTCCCAAATAGCCTATACCATTTCTTATATTTGACCACTTTCAAAGTGGCATTGTGTATTCAGACAATCTTCAGCACATACCAGAACCCTATCTTATTTTATTTCTTCATCGTTCATCTTGTATTTCAGCTTCTAGCTCAGGCAGCTAAAAACTTTTCTTCCCAGGAGCCCTGCATCAACCATTCCTTTGATGTGAGTTGCTTAGTTCATCATCACTTAGATGAAAATGTATCAGATTAGGCAGTGAATATAGGGATTAGGAGCCAGTGGTAATATTGCTGACCTGAAGCTGCCATGATTAGACTAACATCTAGTCTCTGAAATGAACATAACGTACAGAAAAAAAACAGTTGTTCAATTATCTTAATTAAAATATAATAAAAGGGAGCCCAGAGACTCTCTTCATTTTCAGATACTGATAATACAGTAATCTAGACTTGCCAAACATCATAGACTTGCATTGGCTGTATTTGATATATTTGTATCAGGGTCTGTAAGACAGACTACTGCCATGATATACAATACTGGTAACAGTTTTTATCATTGATAATTTAGCTGATTTCAGCTTTTGTACAGGTTGTGGTACCATGGCTGTCAATCTCATTAGATCTAAGTGCTTGCTAAAGCTACACAAAGATCATAGGACATCCCATTACAGGTCACATCAGAACAGCATTTCATCCGACCAATCAGAGCATAGTTTACAACATTGTGAAGTATAAGTTCCAATGTGTTTTCTAATCATACGACCTCAAAAAGGTTAACACGGGCCATTCTGCCATACTATCTCAGGTATATTTTAGACATTCAGGAATTTCCTTTTGTTCAGTTTTTAAATTTTATCTAATTATCTAAACCTATGCCAAAATTTTATTTCAAAGTGTCATCAAGAATGGAAGTCGCCATCTTTAAACTAATGTCATTTAGTGCATTTTAAAGCTGTTTTTTGATTGGCTAATCATAATGTCTTTCTGTTAGTCATTTCATTGGTCAGTCAAAGTTTGTGATATGTTTTGATTTGATGTCATGAGATATTTGTTTAGTGATAGTGAGCACTAAGATATGAAATTAATGAAATTGCATGGTTGTAATACTGCAGTCTCCAGGCAATGTAATTACAATGTACCTGATTACATTTGCTGTAACATATATCTGTAATATTGTCTATTACATGTTACAAAATTCACTCGCTCTAATTTTACTATATGGTATCAACAATGATTAATTTCTGTACATTTTGTAGACACTGAAGAAGTTGGACCACATCAAATCACAACTAGAATTTCAGTAAGTTAACTAGATATGTTTCAATCATTTCAAATTCAAATGACAAATCTGATGAGACCATTCTACCATGTGCTTTGGACATGTTGGCTCAAGGTATATTTCTTTGAATTGCATCACAGCCATGGCGATAGTTCCTGACTATGTCAAGCAAGTGTCTTTACACTGTCTTTTGGGGGCACGGGTAGCCCTGTCACCTGAGGCGACGCAGTTCGCTTTGCAGAGTTGTGTCCCATGGGCACGCCAGAAACCTATGATTGTGGGTTCGAATCCCGGTACGCCCCAATTATGTTTCTAGGTTTGTGAGCACCATACCCCAGCTCGTGCTGAATACTGTTCAAAGCGGCGTTAACCCAACTCAGTCACAGTCACACTGACTGTCTGATTTCAGGAAAAGTGAGAACTTAGACAGTGATTAACCGAATCTGAATTAGACTTGCGTAGATGTAGATAAGAGATGGTGGCCATGTCCTTGCTTTGTTGTGACTTTATAAAGCATCCCTATTGATTTGAACATTAACATGATGGTGTTGAATGTTTCAGGCAAGCAGCCATAGAGAGAAGGTAAGATTGATCTGGTGTTAACCATGTCCTCGATCGATAAACAGGGGGGCACGGGTGGCTCAGTTGTCTTAGGTGCCACAATTCGCTGTGCAGAGTTGCCTCCCTTGGGCACGCCAGAAACCTATGATTGTGGGCTTGAATCCCGGTTCGCCCTGATGATGTTTCAAGGTTTGTCAGCACCATACCTGTGCTCGTGGGTTTCACTGATTAATGTCTGAGACCTGCATCACTTCGGGCTTTCCTCCCACATTAAGCTGACACGCCGTGATTTAACTGGAATAATGTTAAAAGTGGCGTTAAACCTAACTCACTCACTCACTCGATTGACAGCCCCCTTAGGCTCAATATACAGCTGGATACATATTCAGAAAGCTTAAGACAAGAGTTCCCATCCTTGATTGACATTTAGGAGTGTGTGTAGCAAAATGTAGGAGTGTGATGTTTCATACAATGTTCAATGCCATGGTATGAGTATTGGATCGGTATCAAAAACAGTATTCAAATCAATACAAGTATATATGAGCCATTGTTTTATTAAAGTCATACTCAAGTCATAGCTAGATATGTCTAAGCATGGTGATGACTTTTTGTGACTGTCCACTTTAGGGTGAGACTTCTAAACTCAAGGGTGCATCTCGTCTAAAATATCAAAATCCTGTCTCGGATAATTTTACTGCCTACAACACACTGCCTTTGGTTTTCAAAACGGGATGGGGGGTCAGGACCCCCTTGACCTGCATATGAAAACTGGTACCAATACATCAAAACTCACATCTGCTGTTGTGTAGCTAGAATTGTCTGACTATGGTGATGATGTCTTGTGACAGTCTGGGTTAGGGCGAGACTAAACTGGTACAGCATTCCACACATCAGCTGTTGTGTAGCTAGAAATGTCTGACCATGGTCATGACATCTTCTGACAGTCAGGTTTAGGGCAAGTCGCATGTCAAAAATAGTTATTATATCATGTTATTTATGTTTTTGGTGTTGATTATGTGATTGGATGGTAATGTATCTTGATGTTCTTTTGCAGTATGGGTAATCTGGATGAAATACAAGATGAACTGAAGACTATTCGGAGATGATGATGTTGACGGAGATGATGAGGTTGACTGATTGGATGGTTTTACTCCAGGTGTCCAGGTGTCTGGTCCACTAAGTGATCTCAGTGCTAAGATGATCGTGACTACCATACTTTAACATAGCGCTAAGATTGCATTGTGGAACAGGACCTGCGAGTTACTCCCATACCTTGTCTCAGGCTATGTACAGACTTATTTCCTTGCTTATGCTCATCTCATAGTACCATAACAGATGCTCAGAATGAAAGTCTCCACACAATAGAAGATACGTTCAATGTCGTCTTGGTTATTGTTCACCTTGTGAGTTAAGCAGGGACCAGCCAATAAGTACTCATCTGTTATTATTCAGTATATTTGTGCAATCTTTATACTATTTCTAATTGATTAAGAAAGCTCCCTGGTCGAATTCGAGATTAGCTTCCCGGGCAGGTCATAAGAGGTGAGTAACAAGATCGGGTGGTCAACTGGATGACTTTGTTGATCTCGGTCATCATACCTGATGGATGGGTTGTTATCATGCATATTATGCACCCCTAAGTTTGGAGTCTAAAAACTGAGAAAAAAGTGTGTATTATACACGAATAAATACAGTACTCATGATATCAGTCACTGGTTACTCTGGTCCCAACTTAATTATTTACAGGCCATGGTCATATAGCTGGAATATTGCTGAGTATGATGTTATTTTACAACAAAAAAGCTGAAATATGAAAACCTAAAGTTGCTTTGGACCAGACAAATCTATGAGTATGATCCAGAACAATATGTAAAATGAATACAACAAATAGGTTTTGTGTCATGCTGTTATTGTAAATAAATATATACAACCTAACAGTGATGTGCAGTTTTGTTTAATCTTGACCACCTTCGTTGAGCTTGGATGAAGAATTAGATAAGAAATGTGTTGGTGATCACGGTGATGCAGAGTAATGTAAGAATTCAGGATCAGCTGGAATTTTAGAAGAAGTTGTAATCTCCTTGAGGCATGGACATGACAAGTCAGGAAAATTATTTTTGATATCTGTCATTAAATTTAAAAAAATAACTGTTGCCTCACACCAGGGGTCCGGAAAATTTAAAATCCCAATCGGACATTTGCATTCATGCCACGCCCCCTTCAAATAGCGTATTTTAGTACGACTTTTCACACATATTACAAGTTGTTACGTATAGTGTTCCCTTGTTATTGCGCGCTTCGTTTATAGCGAGCGGTAAAGCATGGCTCCCAAAATTTACTAACATTTTTTATAAACTCAAGTTTTCCAATGACACAATGTTTTACCCCATCCCCCCATCTCTGAAAATTTCATACTTTTATTGACCAAGTTTGTTATACCTGTTTATTTACCTGAATTTTGCTGAAGGGATACGATAACGCTCATCCATTATTTGGACACGGAAGGTAGCGTTGTTTGTTTTTAAAATGTCCGGACAGAAAAAATTAAATGTCCAGTAAGCAATAGTTTAAACCGGACATTTGAAATTCCCAATCGGACATGTCCGGCACATATGACCGTTTCCAGACCCCTGCCTCACACCCTGCAAAATGTTTCAAATTCATTTTGGTGGAAAAAAGAGAGTTCAAAGATAAATTTCGTGGTTTATGCTGACACACTGAAATGTTTATATGCGACAGATACATTTTTCCAGAATTTAATTGCCCATAATTAAGAATGCATATAACACACAAGTGCGTATTATACACGAATAAATAAATCTTGTGTACATTGATCAATCGGAAGGAGTGCTAATTGGGATTGTTCACTAGCCAATATATTAGCATATATTGCCATGGACGCTTATTAGAGCGGGGCGCTTATTACGTCGAATACGGTATTGCAATTATATGGCAACATGCATGCAAGTGTGGTGTCGTAAGTTGTAATTGTCTAAACTAATGCCAGATTAAGTGGTAGTCCAATGAGATGCCATGCAGCAGTTTAAGATGGATGTCTCACTTAGACACAGTATGCTCCAAGCTGACCAGTCCCTGCTTTATTACCTTTCACATCTTTTTTTTTAAAATGTCTTTTTGTTCAGTTCAGCATCTTTTGGTGCTGCCAGGTGATTGAACCACTGACCTTCCGCTTTGCGGGCAGATGCTCTGTCCACCACACCATAGAGGTGGCTGGCCACGGGGCATGAATGGTCAAGTAGTTGATGTGAAACAACTCTCTGAAGAATTGCATCCTCCAAGAAATGGATCCTGGACTTGGAAAGGAGTATGTGTACACTACACACAAGTCACAAAGTAAATGAAAACAACATATGACTGTTGGTATCCCCCTCTGGATACAGAAGGTCGGTGGTTCGATCGCCTGGTCTAGTCATACCAAAAGACGTTAAAAGGTGTTACTTGTTACCCTAACGCCAGGACACCTTGATCATGACATCACCAATATGACAAGGGACACCTTCATCACAGCATATTTTTTAATATGTAGCAAATATTTCCCTTCTATGCTACTGAAGAGTATTTGAAGAATCAGGTATTATCAGTACAAGTCCTTCTCATGTCCTATGTCACAGCTATCCAGCTTCTACAAGGAACACCGGGTTCGAATCCCGACATGGGTACAATGTGTGAAGCCCATTTCTGGTGTCCCCCGCCGTGATATTGCTGGAATATTGCTAAGAGCGGCGTAAAACCAAATTCACTCACTCTACAAGGAACATAAAATCCATGTTGCCATTTTTCAAAGTCATTTATTTACATTATATTGAGTCAGTAGATTTCTTTCATTCATGATTAGTACAAGAGAAATAAATACTGGAATACAAGTGATACAAAGTGCAAATCTTTTACATATTCAATTTTCATATTCATAATTTCCAACATGAAATTCTCAAAATACATTGTCAAACACCATTCTGGCAAAGTTGAAGGGACCTACATAAATACCGTATTCGACGTAATAAGCGCCCCACTCCAATAAGCGCCCATGGCGATATTTGCTAATATATTGGCTAGTGAACAATCCCAATTAGCACCCCTTCCGATTGATCAATGTACACAAGACTTATTTATGCGCATATAATACGCACTCTTGTGTTATATGCACCCTAAATTATGGGCAATTAAATCCTGGAAAAATATATCTGTCGTATATAAACATTTCAGGCTGTCAGCATAAACCACAAAATATATCCTGTTTTTTTCACCAAAATAATATTCTAATAAGAGCCCCCTATTTCTAATTTTGAGAGCGCCCTGGGCGCTTATTATGTCAAATACGGTACCTCGAGTTATCCAAGGTTCAACACACCTATAATGATGAGTAAAAAATGAATATTCTGGGACCATGCTTATACTTCAAGTTTATAACATCAAATTTCAACACAACAGTGTTTGACTGTAATTTCCATATAATGCAGAGTACTTTAAGAGCATGTAATTGTCCTTATTGGTAAAAGTGATACATGGAATTCGGGATTTCATTTTTTTCTGTAATAAATATTATAATCATGTGATTGCCAACCTGGGAAGTAGTGTGTGTATGTGTGAGAGTGAGTGAGTGAGTGAGTGAGTGAGTTGGGCATTGCCATGTTTAACAGTATTTTAGTTATATCTTGGCATTGCAGAGATGGTTGCTGATTTGATTTAAAGTCTCCTTGATAATATTTGTTGTTGAACGCCACACTCGGCAAAATTCCAGCTATATGATGGCGGTCTGTAAGTTATCAAGTCTGGTCCAGACAAGCCAGTGATTGATATCACGAGCATCGATCCACGCAATTGGGATTTGATGACATGCATCAACCAAGTCAGTGAGCCTTACCACCCGATCCCATTCGTCGCCTCTTACGACAAGCATAGTCACCTTTTATGTCAAGTCTGGGTTGCTGAAGACCTATTCTACCCCGATTTTCTCGGGTCCCTGATCAATGGATTATGTGCACTCATTTTTAATTTTCAGCTTGGTGGGGAATATACAACCCAAGCTGTCTTATGAAGTGTTAGAACATTAACAATCACACCATCTCAACCTACTGGGTACCCATTTACTGGGTGAACAAATGCATATTTCAAATGAAGACTTTCCTAAGAAGACACCACATGCAATGTGTTTCGGCAGGACCGAAGCCCTAGAAACTCTCATGAGTCAAGCAGCTGAAAACGGTCCCCCATCTAACATTGTCCAACTATCCCCAATCTTTATGGGTCATAAGGATAAATTTAGGATTCAAACCTACACACCTGTAATTGGATTCTGGCAGAAGTATGGGACACAACTGCACCACAAATTGCATCCTATTAGAAGATTGGGTCATCATGCCCCCTGCTGTGCAGGAAATAGATAGTCTTCCCAGCATCCCAGTCTTCAACTGCTGACAGTGGAATATTTGAGGTAAACTCACTTACAAAATAATCGTTGTAGACTGACAAAAATGAGTCTTCTTTTTCGGGTTATGGATGTGTAATGATGTCTGCTGGCAGGTATTCTGAGTATGTACAGGTATTCAGAAAGTCGAGATGAGTTTTTAAAAAAATTTCAATTGAAGAAAAAAAGGTGATGGTATGCATTCTATTGCGATAGTTGCATTTTTAACAATTCACATTTTATTATAGAGGCATATAGGGAAATCACCACCGTCTTAACAGTTTTGCATAAAAGTATAATTCATAGTATTTAGCTTTTAACAATAGTTTAACAAATCATGAATACAATTTTCATCTACAAGAAAATAATTTCTACGTGAGAATGCAAAATGCAATCAAAATGAGTGCAACAAAATTCCATTGATAACATGACAAGTCCTATGACACCGAGTTCACAATGCAATGACATCATAATTCATAGAATACACAACCTGTCACAAAATTTGAATTATTTCACATTTTGTTTGGTATAGTATGCTTTACATTTGACATTTAGTCAATAAAATACCAGTTTCATTGCATTATTTTGGGGAGACACTGACTTAAAGACTCCCGAAAGGACAGTTCAAGTTGTGCAGTGAACACAAAATCATACCAAGACACCCTAATACTACCCGATCTGATTATGTTGTATACCCACAAACACCATCCTTTACCATGTGGAGTGAATGTAGCATAAAATTCAGGGATAAATACAGTGTATTGCTTCAGGAACCCATCCCAACACGAATGCCTTGTACGATAAGATTTGCAGTCTTTTCATGAGCAAAGCACATGATGAGTTTGACAGATTCTAATAGAGAAATGTTTCTTTTCACATAAATATATTAAAGTGATTTATTTAATGCTAAATGCACCCACCCCTAGTACTGGTGAGTGACGTCTGATCTTGATCAGGGATGAGAATGCATATTTTCCTTTACAGCTGACACATCTTTGCAATGAAGCGTGGTCCATAATTTGGGGGTGTTTAAGGGGCACTGATCTAACGCAATTCCCCGGGACTGGTTGTTGCCTTTGTTATTGTTTTTTCCCAGTGAGTACCCGGATGTATAGCAGAAATCTAGACTAGTTCGCGACCTCTGCTGCGCCATTCGTAAGCGCATTAGTCACTTGTATGGGTAGTAATATAGAGGGCGTATGGTCACATTGATCAACAAAATGAAATACAGTTTTGGAGATAATAAGGAAATGTAGGTATCTTTGTGGTTAGCATCGGTAATGGTGACGAAGTTTTGATAAGTCACTTGCTTGGTAATTTTGTGATTTTCGTTTACACTATTTTGACTTGCAACACAAAGTAAATATTTCACCTGAGCATTGCTTTTTGATAGTGTGTATATTTTTTACTGTCAAAATGTGTAACATTTTCAAATTTATTCAGCGCCTAAATATTCAGTTATTTAACAAACTTGTGGTCACTAAATTCGTGGAAATTTGCAGATCCCCGGAAGATTCTCATCCCTGTTTCATGTGGACTCACATTCTAAAATAAAACTTTCAAGCCAAAGTTCTAAGCATCAATAGTCTATTAAGAATCTTGCAATTCCATTGGTTAATCCGTATCATGTGACAAAACAATACATTTCAATGTAGACCCCCAAATCATGTGACTGACACTGAATATTGAATCGTCACATGATCAGTATTGACTTGTCACATGATGAATATTGACTCGTCAGCTAGGAAACAAGATGGAGTCTATGGTATTTGAATCCACGTTCCCTAAGTTTTTAACTTTCAACAGTTGGAAATGAGGTCCCCTTGACTTTCATGTCTTACTCTCTTAATGTGTTGTGTTTTTGCAGTGACTTTTCTATCCAGTAGGTCCTTGTTTTACTCATTAAATAGATACAATACACCGATACCAGTCTAACACCCTAGTAAGTGCTATGAATCGGCAAAACCGTTGGCAACATCAGGCACAGCTCCGTCAGTCTTATCTCCCTTGTTAGGGTACGACCGTGCTCCAAATATAGTACTCCCTACACGCACGTTGGTGCTGCCGTTCTCTATCTGCAAACAGTAAAATGACATTCATATCCATCTCTAATACTTGACAAGAGTGAGTGAGTGAGTGAGTATGGTTTTACGCCGCTTTTAGCAATATTCCAGCAATATCACGGCGGGGGACACCAGAAATGGGCTTCACACATTGTACCCATGTCGGGAATCGAACCCGGGTCTTCGGCGTGTCGAGCGAATGCTTTAAGCACTTGGCTACCCGACCGCCCCAATACTTGACAAGAACAAGAGGTACAAGAAAAGATGAATAATCTCCAGTGAGTGATGTAATTCATGGCTTACTCCATACTCAACACAGGGCTAGGATTTAGAATTAATCTGAGCCATTTTTACCAGGTAAAGGTTCATTTTAAAGGTATCCTTAGGGTTGGTAGATTTTGAACACTTCTGAACACTTTGGAGGTGTCCTATTTGGTGTGCCAATCTAGTTTAAATTCTATCCCTGCAACGCCGTGAAATAACTGGAATACTGTTCTATGTGGCGTTAAACCCAACTTATTCACTCACTTACTCTATCCCTGCAATATGCTGCCTAAGTGACATTGGTATATCAATTACAAGCGTGGTGGCAGCACCAAAGCATTTTCCAATGCATGTTTTAAATCAGGGCGCTCACGTGATTTGATGCACTTTACGAAGTAAGATCCGTTTCATTACAAAACAGATCTTGATTATCGATCTGCGCGATGCCATTTTATTTGAGGCAAATGCAAGTGAAATGAGAGGCCGAATCTGATTGGTCAGTAGGAGGGACATTGAAGGGACATAACTGGTAATTGCCAATGGTGGCGCGACGATCGTGCCCAGAAATTCCAGCTTAGTTCGGCAAGGGTGGAAACTGGACTTTTATCAGTTATCTCCCTTGCCTTGGTGAGATGCATGGAATAAGTCCAACTGCTGCAGAACTTACAGCATGTTCATAGTCTCCCGACATCCCCATACTGAGCTCCATGTCTTCCTGCCGTAGTCTGAGCTTCTCACACACCTCCTCCCTACACCGAACCAGGCACTGAAATGTGAACATACACCACTGAGACAACTGGGTTAGGTGAGAGCTTGCTTTATATTATAAACATATTTGATTAATATGTGTATCAATATGAGAAGATGTCGGTTCATAAGTCAGTTCACGACCTCGAATCTGGTCTTGGCGAGAGTAGTAAGGCTTCAGGGGGATAGATAAAAATGTAAGACCCTTACTTTTCGACCTATCCCCCCCTACAGTCTTATCACTCCCAAGACCTCATACTTGGCCGTGAACCTTTACGTGAAACTGCTATAGCAATAGGTCCATGTCATTCTCTCATGTTAGTTTGTAGATTTTCCAGTAAACCAGCCTGCATTGTTATTTATCATCATATATAAGATAGCTAAAATGAAGAACGAAGCCTGCTTTATTTCACAATAAAACATTGTTCTATCATGACAACATTTCTGGATATTCGAAAATGTGCTCACAACTTGATGATGTCGTAAATAGGATGACATTTTTTTTTAGTGGGAAGAGTCAATTTAGTTGTTCCTCATAGATGTAGCTGGACTATGCAGATGAACGCAATGGCTGAACAATCGCACCCAAAAGCAGGAAAGATATGACAATCGGTACTGGGAGAAAGGTGCACATAATCGATAATGGAGATGTCCGACATTGTGTTCAGGGAGTCCTCATTATTTAAATACAGGTAAATATTTTCAAAGCTTTTACAATTTATTGACATCCTTAAAAAGGCTGTACAAAATGTTGATATCTCATATAAGAAATAAACGACTCGTAGTCGTTGTATATAGCACAATAAAACAAAGTCACGTTTCGTTTCCGGAGCATAACTCAGAAACCGTTCAATATTTATTCATCAAACTTTGCAGGTCTGTCAGGTAAATGCTGAACTGGTGCCTTTTGCTATTTAGAAATTTTTATTTTTTACGTTTCCATGGCAACAAGATGGACATAGGTTCTGTGAGGGTAGGGTTCGTTTCCGGAGCATAACTCATAAACCGTTCAATATTTATTCATCAAACATTGCAGGTCTGTCAGGTACATGCTGAACTAGTGCCTTTTGCTATTTAGAAATTTTAGAAATTTTTATTTTTTACGTTTCCATGGCAGCAAGATGGACTTAGGTTCCAAACTCTTCTTTTTTTTACAATTTCCATGACAAGTTCCACCTCGGTTAAAACAGGTTAGGGTTTGTTTAGATTTAATTATGTCATAAATTCTGCAACAGGGGCGGGGGATATAGCCACGTTAGTGGCAAACTCTTGTTCTCCTTGCAGTGTTTTATTGTATGACAAACAACTCCCACTCATCGTTTATTTCTTAACTGGTACTCACCTGGAAGTCTGGATTTGGCCCTTTACTGAGATCATAGTCATAGGCTCCAATAGTCATAAGCCCTACCAGGTCGAGAGAGGAACACTTCTCTCGTATATACTGTACTAATTCACACACTGACTCGGGGGCACAGCCATTCTTATCTGAAACGAGTCAGTAAAGTTGTTTTTACAAACATTTGCAGGGAAAGAAATTAGCCAAAAACGTCTACTGGCCCAAACAGTGATAACATACAGCAAATTCTACTTGCCCATAGGATACCTTCAACATTAACAGAACAGGTCCAGCCAAGAGGGCTAGTGCTGATTTCTATCCCTGATTCGTCGTGCTAAGTAGGGCTGCAACGAATACACTCTGAGGCGAACATGATACGTATCACGAATATCGGGTAACGAATACATATATTTATTGACGAATACAATAACAAGTCAGCAGTTGGTGTATTCTTTATTATATTCAGTGAAACAATAACAAAATATATTATTTGACATGGATTGACCATGTTGACAGTGTTAATTATTATTAATATATTGTACATTTATATACTGCACATATCCTGGTACTAGTATCTGCTCAAATGCGACAATGACCAGTGACCACATTACTGTCAAATAAAAGATATAAGAGTGTCGTCTTTGAAGAAATCTTTGTGTGCATATAATACGTTCTTATGGATTTTTTTAGTAAAAAACACTCTTCTTTTTTTTTTAAATAAATAAAACAACAACAAAACAAAACAAAATACTCTTTTTATTTTTTTCGTAAATATTTGATTCTTGTGACCACAAATTCAATTCATCAAGGGATACAGTTCGATTCACCGAATAAGCCATTGAATCGTAACAGCCCTAGTGCTAAGTGATTTGTTCCAGGGCTGAGGAAAGCATGATAAGCCAACTGGAAGTTTAGTACAGGGTATGTCAACTGTCACTGAGGTGAAGAAAACTCACAATCTGAACAAGAGAATTTATGGATGTCAACTTCTTTATTATGGAGAACACAACATTTCGGAGTACATGCTTTCTCCTTCATTTGATGAATGAATGCCATGAGGCAGAGAGCATATATATGTACATGTAAGGACAAGAAAATTGATAAGATTACAAAAGGTGGAAACTAACAAGGGAAGCCAATAGATAATTGAAGCTGATAGGTGTCTAGCAATAGACAACGGAAGCCAACACTTTACAGTAATTAGCACTGAAAGTATGGACGCCAGCACTTAAGTTATCATTGATAGGTAACAGGCAAAGGTCAATGGGCAAATGAGATGTCAGGGGTAATTGGCACTGATAGGTGAAAGAATGGAAATAGCAATGGGCAAATGGAAGTCATGGAAGTACTCCAAAACACTGTGTTCCTCATAATCAAGAAGTTAACATCCATAAAATCTCTTCCTTATGTGTATCGCTTCTAAATGCCTTTCAAACACTTCACAATCTGAATGGTGGTGTTTTAATCAATTGTTGTCATTGATGTTTAGTCAGCAAAACGAACAATGAATCTGGTTATGATGATACATATAACAAAAACTCTATAAAATTTGTCACAATAGCTGAAATAATTCTTTGGCATAAAAAATCAAAATTATTGAACACAATGATCTATCTTATCTACTTAGTCAATGATGCGACATTTGCACAAATGGGGCCATCGATCCTGAGTAAGTGAGTGAGTGAGTATGGTTTTTTGCCACTTTTAGCAATATTTCAGCAATATCACGGCGGGGGACACCAGAAATGGGCTTCACTCATTGTTCCTATGTCGGGAATCGAACCCAGGTCTTCGGCGTGACGAGCGAACGCTTTAACCACTACCTCATCGATCCTGAATTGTGAAGAGTTTTACTGACTGTGTTCTCCGCTGGTGTTGACCTGGACCATGACTCTCAGTCTCCCTGGCTTCGTCAGTCTCTCCCATGAGTTGCTCACAGCCTGGGCCAGCTTCACCGAGTCCACGGTCTCCAGCATGTAGAGGTGGGGCACACCTAGGTAGCCATACAACATTGCTCAGATCAACTGGTATCATAGGTGAGTGAGTGAGTTGGGTTTAACGCCGCTTTTAACAGTATTACAGTTATATCACGGCGTGTCAGCTTAATGTGGGAGGAAAGCCCGAAGTGATGCATGTCTCTGACGTTTACCAATTCGCTGAAACCCACGAGCACGGGTATGGTGCTGACAAACCTAGAAACATAATCGGGGCGAACCGGGATTCGAATCCACAATCAAAGGTTTCTGGCGTGCCCAAGGGACGCAACTCTACACAGCGAATCGCGGCGCCTTAGACGACTGGGCCACCCGTGCCCCTGGTATCATAGGACACACACAGAGAAAGAATAAAAGATGAATTTAAGTCACAAATGCTCAAGAGTCTGAGTGAGTGAGTGAGTGAGTGAGAGTGAGTTTGGTTTAACACCGTTTTGAACAATATTTCAGTCATATCACTGTGTGTCAGCTTGAGGTGGGAAGAAAGCTTAAATTGATGCAGATCTTCGATGTTTTCGTGAAACTCACGTGCATGGGAAAACTAAAATGCATGGTTGTAGTGCTGACAAACCTAGAAATATAATTGGAGCAAACTAGGATTCAAACTCACAATCATAGATTTCTGGTGCACCTAAGGGATGGAACTGTGAAGCGAATCAAACCAGTGGTTCATAGCATGTGTGAGTGAGTGAGTATGGTGTATAGCAATATTACAGCGGAGGAAATCAGAAAGGGGCTTCATACATTGTACCCATGTGGGGAATCGAACCCAGGGCCTCCAGCATGACGAGCGAACACTTTACCTAGGCTACTGTTGGATGAGCAACAGTCAGTGAATTTATGTGTTCACAGCCAAAAGTAAGATTGTTTTCAGGAAGGGCTTATCACTCCATTATTGCAAGTTTACGTTGGTTCCTAACAGGAAGGTTACACATACCTAACACCTTGTTGACTTTATTTTTCTGAAGATGGCCAATGAAATGCCATCTTATATCTTGACATTGCTCAAGGATCTGCAACAGAGAAAGTCATAGAAGGATCACATGACTCACAGACCTACATCCCATCCTCCACAGATCACATATCACATTATCCATATATTGATCTACATCACATGTTCCAATATCCATATCACACAACTCCCAAGTCTACATCACTGATCTATAGTTCATAATTCACTGGAGTATGACATGATTCAAGATTATGATCCAAAATGTCCTGAGAATATACAATTTTTGTAAATATACCGAAGAATCTCCTGCCAGAAGTTAATAAAACATAAATATGTCCAAAAGACATTTTTTTCCTGCAATATCACTGAGACTATACTTCACATTTCACAGATCTTATAAATTGATTCACGGATCTATGACATTTACAGATATGTTTATTTATCATCCAAAACTGGCTCCCACAGGAGATATTGCTTGGATGAGATCAAGCCATATCTACATTGTAGATATCGCTGCAATGAAATTACATCACAATGCTTTGCAGACCATTGTGACGTCACTGGTTACCATGACGTCACAATCAAACGTCATCACTAATGGCTCTGCTACTGAAGCTGTTTGCAGTACTTTTTACACTGAAGACACTGCTAATTACTGTCTACAAATTGAAAAAGTTGAAAGAATGATGTTGGATGATAAATAAAATCTCACCCTCGTGTCTTTTGATATCAACACTCGGCAAGCCTCGGAATTTTTCCACTTTTATCAACTCGTGTTGATATATTTGATATCAAAAGACACTTGGGTGAGATTCTCTATATATCACACGATTCATGTATATTCATATCACTTACAAATATCTCCTGGCGTCACATTTCAGTAGACCTACACAAACCCCTGGATCCATTGTTAGGTTTTTGAGAGCTAAAACTACCTGCCCTTGATTTTTACCATTTTACCGACCAATCAAACTTTGAGAGAAACCAAAGCCACCACCAGTTTTAATGGACATGAAGACATCCTTTCTACCAAATGATTTTTAAGGACTTTCCTTTGCATGGTAGTTAGTTTATCAATGTTGAATTTCTTGCAAACTTGATCGTAATCAATGGAACTGGCTGCCATGTTGTTGATATCGTCAAACCAACGTGGAGGCTGGTTTGTAACTCGCATTTTGATTGGCACGTTAGGCTTAGCCATCAAATTGGCTAACAGGAATCAAGGACGGGCAGTTGCAATCTCATTAAAATCAGATCTTAGTTCTCGCTACCGCTAAACAAAGATCTGAGGACATCTCATTATGGATCACGTCAGACCGACCTTGCGCGTACTTTGACCAACCAATGGAATGACCAATCAGAAGGCAGCTTTCTCGTGCTTTAAGGCACTAATTTCAAATTGGCGACTATGCCTCGAAACATATTTTGACAAATACTCGATTACAAATTTGAAACCTGAACAAAAGAACATTCTGGAATGGCTAATAGATGGTCTAGATTGTATGGATACAGTCGTTAAACCCGTATCTATCGTTCGGAGTTAAAGTTTTCGAGGCTGCATGATTAGAAATCACATTCCGACTGTCACTTTCATAATCAGGTAAGCGATGCTCTGATTGGTCGGATGGAAGGTCGTTCTGACGTGACCCCTAATGGGATGTCCTCAGATCTTTGTTTAGCGGTAGCAAGAACTGAGGTCTGATTTTAATGAGATTGGGGTAGTTGGAGATTGCAAGAACCACAGGAATGGATCCAGGGGTAAGCCTAGTTTTACCAACATGTGAGCCCTGAAGATATAGAGGATGTATAACTTTTTTCTCAGATCAATAATGATTCAATATCACAATACACACACAGCCAGCATCAAGTCAATCATACTAGTTCACTTGCAATAAACATGGTCATGTTTTTCAACAATATCTGAAGTAAGTGTGTTTGAATGTTGAATTCCTCAATGGTGATATGATATAAATACACACCTTTGCATCGTGACCTTTTTCTTGCAACTCTTGGACCTGAAACAGATAACAGTGAACAAGTCATAAGCTAAGCATGAACTTGTGTCAAAATACACCATGACACATTGGTCCCATAGGTGATCATCCACTGTTCATAGTGATAGACCATGATATGTTGTTAATTTAAACTGCTCCAAGTGGGTGCTCTTCCATCTGCATGCTTCAAGTAAGTCGATATAATTTATATAATGATTATATATTATATGGAATTGTTCAGGCAACAAAATATATAAACATAAGACAAAGAGAGAGAGATGTTTATTTACTAACTGTCGTACATAGATGTTGCTGAATGAAGGTTATATGTAAACAGACCCTAAAGCCCCATTCACATGGACAAAGTTTACTCATGTAAGCAAATTTACTCATGGAGTATATTTACTCATGTAAGCAAAAGTATATTTACATTGCGTTCACATGAAGTTTATGCAAGGCAGAAGTAAACATCATTTCATAAATAAATTGTGGACTTTTATCATTTGAGGCCATGTCGCTGTCTAAGATAGTCAACCAGAGGCGAAAGAGAGACTTTCCATACTTCCTTAGTATGGGATTAGTCTTAGGATTACGCCAGGAAAGAGAACTGTGGAAGAGAGAACGTTCTCAACACTGGTGGAACAATGTCGTCAAACGATCATTTGATGATAAACTGTGGATCGATAACTTTCGCATGACACACGAAACATTTTATGTTCTTTGCAAGGAACTACAGCCGTATTTTCCTGCACAGGAAATGTATGTGAGGGAACCATTGGAGCTGGATCACAAGGTGGCCATAACAATGTACTGGCTTGCCTCCTCTGCAGAGTTTAGAACAATCAGCAACCTGTTTGGGGTTGGTATCTCAACCTTGCATAAATGACCAGAAATACTCCAGGAGCATTTATACTTACGAGTAAATATACTTTTACTCGACCTCATCAGGTGTAGCAAATATATTTTTACTCATGTCTTTTTACTCCTGGAGTATATTTACTCACGTAAGCAAATGCGTTCACATGCCACCATAAGTAAATTTACTTATGTAAGTATATATACTCACGTAAGTAAAAATGTCCATGTGAATGGGGCTTAAGTATCCTTGAAGCAGATGATTACAGGCAAATTCCCATGAAATCTCTTTAAAATGTACTTTTCCAGAATCCCTTACTGATTGTTGACTACTTACATAGTTTTCCCCAAAGTGAAGCTGTCCACATTTGTATGCAGTAATGATGGCATCAACTGGCTTGGTTTTGCTAACTGCCACTAAGCGCGGTGAAAGCTTCTGTTGGACCTGCAAAGTTCAAAACAGGAATTTTTTAAACTTCTAGTTTTAATGTTTCCTGGGTGGTGGAATAGCTTAGTCTTTAAAACATTTATTCGGTTTTGATTCCCATACTGGTACATGTACAATGTATGAAACTTTTCTTAGTATTTCGTGACTTTCTCACTGAACTATCGCTAAAAACGGCCTAAAGCCTAACTCATTCTTTTACCTCTATGACTTATTTCCTACTCTGGCATCATAGGAGGCCAACAAAATAAAATCCAATGCTTCTCATTACATTAGTTTTAATTTGAACTTTTACAGACTGTTGCACAGTGGAATATAAACTATTAACTAAAATGTGAATTTCCCTTACTATTGTAAACAGGGAACTAGACGTGACTCTCTTCATATTGATGAAGTAATTCAGATAATAAATACTGGGAACTAAACGTGAATCTCTTCTTATGAAGAAATGTAAATGTGACAAAATTAACTAAATATGATTCTCAAAATCTATTGCTTTCAACCTATGAGTCTAGCTCTATTTTGGCTAGCATTGTTGTGTCCTATTGCGACAGCCTAGCTTAACTAATGTGTTCTACTTCGTCCTACCTTAACGAGCTATAAAACAAAATTGTTGAATGTACGTCCATCCGCTACAACATCATGCCAAACTTAAGTAAGTCTGATTTAACTCGTTTTGCATGTGCTTGGACAGCACGTGCCATGTCTTACTTTTATTTTCTCTGCGAAGCAAGTTGCGTTCCAGCTATCTGTACAAGCTTAACATGTCTTCAAACCACAGACATTATCATTCCTGAACATGCTACACTATGCAGCCCCGACTGGTCTATTATCCCTCCAGTGTTTTAACTATACGATGGAAAACTCACCCTCGTTGTTTATTTCTTGAATAAAGTTAAAAACTGGTGAGCATACTTTCCAAGAATTTTGCTATGCCAGGTGGATTTACACAGTAGGCACACCTGACCTCAAATCTCTCGTGCTCACCCAGTGATAGAGGCAGTCTACTAGCACGAATTGTGATAACATATACCGTATTCAACGTAATAAGCGCCCCGCTCTAATAAGCGCCCACAGTGATATTTGCTAATATATTGGCTAGTGAACAATCCCAATTAGCACCCCTTCTGATTGATTAATGTACACAAGACTTATTTATTCGCGTATAATACGCACTCGTTATAGGCACACTTAATTATGGGCAATTAAATTTGGGAAAAATATATCTGTCGTACATAAACATTTCACCAAAATAATATTCTAATTTTGAGAGTGCCCTGGGCGCTTATTACGTCGAATACGGTATAGCGATTCTCCTCAAAATCTTTGAAACTCTTCTGGCCCTTAGGATACCTTCAACATTAGCAAAAATGGTCCGGGCTAGTGCCCCAAATTTCTATCCCCGTGAACCAGTTTACATAACAAGCACCTGACCTTATGATCAATTCTGTCGTGCTGAAGCATGTTACATAACAAGCACCTGACCTCAAACTCTTGTGTGATAATTCCAAAAAACAAAGTAACAGAACCAGCTGTGTTCGATATTTTTGTTTACACACTACGAGAGATGTAAAAAATATGACAATAATTACCAGCGTGACAAGGACATGTTGCGATCAGACAGAAATTAGACTGCCTCAAGCAGACGACGGGTCATAAGGCATGACAAGCAAGCATGGAGCACATTCTCTGTTTACAGCTGTTTTCACCTGACTGCTCTAAGAAAATAAATGTACAAATATAGGGTTACCGTGGTGCCCCTTTCCTTCATTTACCTCTGGCCTTTTACTGCTTGCAATACTAATTTTCTCCAAGACTGACTTGATAGACCGACAAATATTACTATCCGCAGCCATTTTGCGGATCATGACTGGGCCGCAGAGAATTAACTCATATTCTCTACAATAATATATTTTCGTTTAGAAATCGAAGATATGCATAAGAGAGCATAGCTGTGAATTACACTTGAGTACAATACTATTATACATTTGTTATCATAAGATTTATTACATTAGAGATCGCAGTAAAAACGAATACTCTTAGCATCACCGAGTGCGTTTCCCTATACTAGCGAATAATATTCGAAACCTACAATGAACAGTAAGGAGTTTGTGTCAGGTGCGTCTGTGTAATCAAGGCAACACTTGCCGGTTTTGCAAACAATAATAGGTTTTGTTTGGAAGGGGCATAACTGCTGTAAACATGACTGCTCGTATGTGGCGTGACCTCTTGTTGTGTGACCTCACATCGGCTCACGTTGTTCGTCAAGATACGACAATAAGTCATACACTATCACCAATGTCACCATGTTTTTAAATGTTTACTTAACCTAAAGAAATTAGCACACACGTATAGAGCTAAGCTACGCGACCAGCGTTTGATCAGCAATGCTGCGTCACTGTCGACGGTAGCGACTGTCACTCAGAGTGTATCGATGTGCTCATCTGGGACTAATGTTCAAGTGAACATGTAAATTACTGCATTTCCGGGTTTTTTTTACTGGGACCATTGCACCATTACACCTCAACACTGACAGATGCTGACATGGCCTCCGATGCAGAACACAACGGCTTCCATTCCCCCGAGGATTCCTCCGATACTAATAATGGCACAAGTGTCGACTATCCAGGTACGTTCTTTCTGTCAAGAGTCCGGTGTAGCATTCATGGAAAACAACATCATTGTATTTTCAAAGAGTTTAGCGATCACCACCCATAGTGACACAAACGTACCAGTGAACGAACGCACTGCACTAACACGGGTTTACCTGCCTATATTATGTACTGGTCACGACCAACTATCACCATTTTTGTCATGTTATTTCAGAAATATTCTGTGTACAAAGTTAACTGTGCACATAGCTATGGTTTGTGTGAAACAATCAGCAACTGCATGTGTTTCTGTCTGCGAAAAAAAATCAGTTGATTGTTGTTATTATGCGACGACAGGAAAACAAAACAGTGGAAATCGATATTTCCCGTCGACCAACTGTACCAGTTATCGCCATCGTCTAAACAGTAGGTGCCACGTGGTCATGCACACCGCATCAGTTATACAAATTACATTTTCTATTTTCTCTGGTATCATTCTCTATTTTTATATTCTTTACAATTAACAAGAAATGCTATATCAATTTGCTGTTGCAAACTAACGTCCACCTATATTCCCCAATTTGATTTAACATGCTTATCCATAACACTATTAGATCTACTTTGGATTTCGCAATATTTACAGGGTTACTCTTTTTTTTTAACATAGTTCAAATTGGTCTTAGAATTGTACTTTGGGGAAGAAATGACTGACTGTAGTAAGCTATAAAAGAAATGTGCATCATCGGGTTGTTTGATTTTTGTTTACGTGTAAATTAGTCATGTGACACCTACCACGTGTCTCTTCTTCAGTTGTATTTGAGCAAGGTAATTATATTGTTTGTTTTTTAATATTTCTTCACAATAGTCCGTATTGTTCATTTTTGGATAAATATTTCACTCTTCTAATGAAACCGTGCAAAAGTAAAACAGGACGTGATCACGTGCGCACTATAACAGGGAGTTGGTGATAATTGGTCCTCGGTTATCACTTACAAGAAATATATCGTACAATTATCACAAATAAACTGTTGGATGTATCACTTCTTTCATATGATTTCGCATACCATTCAGATATATTTAGATATTAAATATGAGCAGACTATGCATTTCCAAGTCAAAATATACGCTGTCGTGTCAAAACACCCAATGTCAGAAAAAAACATACTGCTGCTTCAAGTTGCAACCACACATTAAATGCAGGTATGTCCGAATGAAGCAACCTGATTGGTCGGCCAATATGTGCTCATGAAAATGGGGTTAAGCTTGTTATGGCGCAAACAACGATCGCCTGTGCTCAGCCCTACTTAACGACTCGAGTACCAACCAAGGGGAGATAACTCACATCTTCACTTCTGCACACATGGAAGAGAAATGGTATGTACAGTATCTGGAAATTAACTTTGACTTGTAAGATTCTAAGAAAAAGAGACACTAACATTTTTGTCCACAAGTCCTCATAATGATAACATGTACGAATCTCTTAAAAGTGGCAAATTTCTACTAGTCCTGATGATACTTTAACTATTGGGCAGTTTGGCAAGAACTACAGGAATAGTGCCAATTTCTAATGCTGCAAAATGTCAATTGAGTGGCATATATATTACTGATGAAATCTGGTACTTACAGAAGCCTTTTTGGGCCATGTGTTTTTAAAAATAAATTCGATACTATCTTGAAATTTCAACTGTTTCTTGAAATTTCAAGATAGTATCGAATTTATTTTTAAAAACACATGGCCCAAAAAGGCTTCCGTAAGTACCAGATGAAATTTCAAGAAACAGTTGAAATTTCAAGATATAGAAGTTGAAATTTCATGATACAGAAATTGAAATTTCAAAATATTAAGTTGAAATTTCAAGATACTATCTTGGAATACAAGAGACTATCTTGAAATTTCAACTTAGTATCTTGAAATTTCAACATAGTTTCTTGAAATTTCAACTTAGGATCTTGAAATTTCAAGGTAGTATCGAAAAAAACAAATGGCCCTAAAAGGCTTCCGTAGGTACTTGTGTCTGCGTCATGTTTTAAGACAAGCCTGTCCTCTAGCCTATATCAAAGCCTAGTTCCTACCCTTGCCACATCAAGCCTACTTTCCTGTGCTAAAATATGACTGGACTATCGCACATAACGATAGTCCAATCAGGGAACATTTCACAAAATCAACATCCACGCCTGGAACACCTTTGTATGAAAGTGATTTACCGCTGCCTGTGTTTGTTGACACAGCTTTTTTTCATCTTTTAAAATCCCCAAAGATTGCTTATGTTTTTATGTAAGGGTTGTTTTCGTTATCTGATCGACTAGGTCGTCCCCCATGGTAGTCGCCATCCTTCTGAAGTGATATGAGATAAGAACATCGGTCTTATTGGATATCACGTTTTCATTACAAGGGGCACAACTTGTGATCTATGCGAGGTGGCGCCAAGGTCGAGCCAAAAAAAAGTGGCTTCGATGAGGCAAAGGTGGAAACAAAACTTTGATAAAAAGGGTTGTTGAAGCTCTTACCTCGGGAAGATGCATGGTCCCTAACTGTAGAATTACCCATGTATTTTATGAGAATCGTATGGCATGTTCTTGTTTTGACTTTTGCCCAAAGTAATAACTTGGGACCTTCAGATTTTCACTTCCTACTAGTGGTATAACGATATTGTATCCTGATACATTCACACAGTCCAATACACAACTTACAACCCCTCTTATATATGATCTTAAGGCTGGGACGAGTCCAAATTTACTACCAGGGTACCCACCACCCTATTACCCGACCCTACCCAGGTACCCACTGTAGGTCTCAGGAAATGTTTCTAAATGTCTGATTGGGAACATTTTTAGGATAGACCTGGCAAAACGTATTTAGATACATGCATTAAACAATCTGGTCATTCATACACTGAAGTTGAATTAAGTTATATCTTTATTCAACCATATGAAAAATCAGAAGGAATGGGTGCATAGTCAGAAAGAAATGCGAACATTAGTGACTTGTAGTGTAACCATAGAGTTCTGGATAATTTGTGTCATTAAACAATATATCACGTGACTAACCACGGGTCCAGGTAGTCCTGTGGGTACCCGGGTCCTACTCAGTACCCACCCAACCCGGGTACCGGAGTTACCCGTCCCAGCCCTATATGATCTGTGACATTACAAGCAGGGATGCAGAATTTCTTTTTGTCAATGGGACATTTGTATTTTGGTCACGCCCACCTCATATCTGAGGCGCATGAATAAAAAGAATATACTCAAGTGTCACTTTCATAACATATCAACATGCACCCTTCTGAAATGTAGTACATATTCTGTAGAAGCATGCACATAGCGTCGTCCACTTGTTGTGAGACGCATTCAACAAAAAATCTGTAAGGGTTCTTCATTGGAATTGGTCTCTGATGTAGTGGCCACTGTATGTTCTTTTCCAACAACCAAAAGACGTTAAAAGATGGTACTTGTTGTTACCCTGTCTGGCGCTGTTCAATAAGGGGCTAAAACAAGGACTGGTCGGCTCGGAGTCAGTATACTGTGTCTTAGTGGGGTATTCATGTTAAACTGTGGCATGGTATCTCAGTGAGCTAGCACTATAAATCGGCATCGGTCCGGACTAGTACAAGCAGCCACACATACACGCACACACATACATGCAGGTCGCTATATAAGTGCAATAATCTTGGACGCCTCGTTAAACTCCATTTCACCTCACCCGTCTTTTCCAACATCATGGTCTGAAAGGGCGGTCTTAAGTTCTGGCGGGGGCACGGGTGGCTCAGTCGTCTAAGGCGCCGCGATTCGCTGTGCAGAGTTGCGTCCCTTGGGCACGCCAGAAACCTATGATTGTGGATTCGAATCCCGGTTCGCCCCGATTATGTTTCTAGGTTTGTCAGCACCATACCCGTGCTCGTGGGTTTCACCGAAGTGGTAAATGTCTGAGACCTGCATCCCTTTGGGCTTTCCTCCCACATTAAGCTGACACGCCGCGATATAACTGGAATACTGTTAAAAGCGGCGTTAAACCCAACTCACTCACTCACTCACTTAAGTTCTGGCAACCCTTCGTCAAGATGCCCTTCAGACTGTGTATCTGGCATATCTAGAAAAATAGAAAGTAAACATTAGAACGCATTAATGTTCATGATAATGTAACATCGATAGGCGAGGTAACACTTTGGTACGAGATAAATTTTCTTCTTTATCTATCGTGATGTAACCAGACAAATATCAAGTTTTTTCTCCTTTTTTACATTTAAGATTAATGGTAGGATTACATCTAAAATATGGATAGTAACAAACATATAGTGTATATGAATGTTATTTTTATCTTCGCTTAGCAATGTTTAAAGAAATTGACAGGTGAAATAATATGGCGGACTCCCTGAAATTGACATGTGATTGACTCAATACAGAAATCAATAATTATACGCTAACAATTTACAAGTTATATTGGTAGGAAAACATGTGAATAATAAGAGAAACCGTACAACAACCAGTTTATTGCCCACATGCCAGAGTTTAGCACTTAGTTTCAAGTGTGAAAGAATCTCATATGAATACCTCAACATGGTATATGGTATGACACCGACATTCGTCGTTGTGGGAAACGAAGGAAAGGAATTTACAGCGAATCTTGTGACAGGAAAAAAAAGGCCAACTCTGCTATTTGTGAATTTTAGATGATCCCACTTTTTTGTCTCTAGTGGGCTCGTAGGGGCCTTCCTTCTTGTCAAACACAAAGTATCAGATGGCTGTCAGTCAACGGTCATGGACTGATAAAATTTCAATTTGACAGATGGTTTGTTTCAGTAATCAAACGTTTGACCGATAGAAGAGCTAAGCAAGGCTTTAGGCATTTCATAATTAAGAAGTAAATACAGTTGAAGACGGACAGAGGGACAAACGACGGATACAACAAACTGTTACAAAATCCCTGATTTATCTCCTTTTCTATTATCATATTTAATTTACATACATAACAAACTCTCTACAGCGAACTAACGGATACAGCGAACTGATATCAGATCCCGACAACCCCAAATACCACTAA